GAGACCCCCAGGAGGCCCCAAGGAGCAACCAAGACGCCCTACGAGGTCTCAGGCCCCGCCAACGGCCCAAAGAGGCCCCCAAGAGACCCAACAGAGGCCCCAAGCCCCAAAGACGCCTCAACACTGCCTCCACGAGACCCCGAGAGGCCTCCCACGAGAGCCCAGCGAAAATCCACTAGGCTTCATACCTACAACCCAAGCATGGTGGCGGGACTTGCCGTAGGCAGCTGGATAAACATGTACGTTGCTGCGCTGTGGATGTGTAAGCTATATGTGGTGCAAGCTGTGCGATGCAAAGTATATGGTGCAATGTACGAGGTGCAAGCTACGTGATGGAAGAGATGTGGTGCAAGGGAGATGGTGCAGGCCGGGAGGAGCAAACTGCATGATGCAGGCGATGTTTTGCAAGGTCCGTGGTGCAATCTGCGTGGTGCACACTATGATGCAAGCTACGTTGGTGAAATGTACATGATGCAAGCTACGTTGGGCGGCAGCGAGGCGGTCTCGGGCGGCCACAGGGCGGCCGCGGGTGGCCACCGGGCGGCCACGGGCGGCCACGGGCGGCCACGAGGCGGTCACGAAGCGGCCACGGGGCGGCAAAAGCATCAGCTTACTCACCCAATTCCTTAGTAAGGCAAGTAAGAACCCCCAAGTGCAAGCCTTGGGTGGGGAATCTGTCTTCACGTCCCGCGGCTACTATCACAAGCATAAGGGAAACACGGCTGAAGGGGAAATATCGAGCTGGAATCGGCAATTCGTCCGCAAGTTCCCTGGCGGGGTGGACTACCACCCCTTCATCGTTAAAGAATGGACGATCGGGGGTCGATGCGCTGCCCCCTGAGCCTACGCCCACCTCCTTGACGCTGCCCCTGAGTGATCCTCGTCGACTGGCTTTCGGGTCGTAACGCGGTTCTCTGGTGGCCCTTGGGGACGCTCTCGGCACACCCAGAGCGCTCTCGGCAAAACGCAGCCGCTGGAGCGCATCCAATGACTGGAAAGCCGCCTCGTCCACCCCTGCCCCACTCCCCCTAGTTTACCCCCTCCTCCCCCCCAGAGCGGCCAGCAGCCTCCTCGCCCTCCGGCTCCGAGGCGCTCTCGGCGAGGCGCAGCCGCTTGAACGTGACCAGTGGCTGGAAAACTGCCGAGGACCAACGAAACCGCCCGAAAACGTCGAACCTCGCTACCAACGAAAACGCCCGAAAACGTCGAACCTCGCTTCCGAGAAAGCCGTCGCCTGCTGCTCCGACCCCCGCTGCCCCCCCGAGACTCGGGCTCGTTACAAGCAGAACACACACACAAACACAAACACTTTCCACCAGAAACGGTATTTCACATCCAGCAGCAAAGGCGTCGAAATCGCTGTTGCCCCGCGACAATTCTACAGCACAGGGCGACAATCCTACAGCACAGGAAGGCACCGGTCAGGACCTGTTGCATGGCGAGTCGCCGCGGCGGCCCCGGCGGCACGCTACATGTCGTGCGAGCGGATGCCGCGCGCCGCCCCGCATCGCGGAGGGCGCAGGGCTCGGAGTGGCTCTCGGGGCGTCGGCGCCCGGGCACTTGGGGAGCGGACAGCGTGCCGCGCCGAGGCGGGGCGGGCCGGGACCCGCGGGCCGCCCTCTGCGACCGGCACCGGGCCCCGCTGCGGCCAGAGCGACCACTTTACGACCCGAGGGCCTGCTCGGAGGCCGCCTCCACGCGCGGCGCGTCCGATGCGGGCGGCGCCGCGCCCCCCGCCGCGGCGCCCGCGCCGCCGGCCTTTTCGAGGGCGGCGACGGCGGCGACGGCGGCGACGACGACCTCGAGCAAGGACCGACTGTCCCGACATTCCTGCCACGAGGTGCTCCTTGGAACAGCAGAGCCGACCGTCCGACCACCGATCGTGACCGAAGTATTCTCAGAGCCGAAACATGTGCGAGGAGCAGCAGCCGACGCATCAAAGCAGGACGGCCTCAGCCAACAATGTTCGAAACACACGTGGTGCAGAGTCGACGGCGGCGGCGGCGGGCGGCGGGCGGCAGAAGGGCGGAGAGCACGAGCACGTCGCCTCCTGAGACGTCGTCTGCCCAGGCGGTGGATACGTGCGGCGCAGAGAGGAGGAGGAGGAGGAGGAGGAGGAGGAGCGGTAGGAGAAAGGGCGGCGGTAGGAAGCTTACAGACTTTGTCTGCGTGCGTGTGTACCTGATGCTGGGCGGTGTACGCTTGAGCACCGGCAGGAAGAGGCAGGGGCCGAAGGAGATAGACCCAAACATCCGACGGTGTGTGCGGCTGTTTCCCCACCAGCGACCCCAGAGCTCCCGACCACTCTCCCCCCTTCCCCAGGGACAACTTCCCATCACGGATCCAGGCTAGATGACCCCAGGGCCCGAAAAGAGTGTCCCAGGGCATCACCCGATGAGAACATACAGGGATTGGAAAACAAACATTCGAACATGCGGGGGTGCAGTCATCCTGCTATCAAACGGAGCGCTGGGCAAGGAACGCCGGGGCTTGTCTGGCCACGGCGAGCCTCGGCCACGAAGAGGCTCCCCGACCCAGGCCCGAGGAAGGGCCCGAAAACCAGGGCACCTCCTAAGCCCAACGCGGCCCTGATTTCAGCGCCGTGACTGTATGAGAAGGATCGGGCCTCCGATGGGGTCCCATTGGCGACGTCGTTGTCGGAGCGGGTGCCGGACCCCTCTGGGCCGGGCTCGTCGTCGAGCGAACCCTTGATGTGCACCACCTTCGTGTCTTCGGCATCGCAGTATCTGTCCCAGTAGCCCTTGGCGGGGGGGCGAAACATGAAGCAGTGCAAGGGCCACGCCCTCCCCATTCCCCTCCACCTCTCCTCCTCCTCCTCCTCCTCCTCCTCCTCCTCCGCCTCCTCCTGCTCCTCCTCCTCCTCCTCCCCCTCATCCCCCCATCCTCCCTCTACCCATCATCCTCCTCGTCCTCCTCCTCATCCTCCTCCTCCTCTTCCTCCTCCTCCTCAGCATCGTCATCATCATCATCAACAACAACATCAACAACATCGTCATCATGAGCAGCATGGTGTTCATCATCATAAGAATCAGCATAATCATCGCCAGCATCAGCATCAACATCATCATAACCATCATCATGCTCATCATCATCAGCAGCAGCATCGTCATCATCAGAATCGTCATAATCGTCATCATCTGCAATATCCTCATAATCAGCATGATCAGCATCATCGTAAGCGTCATCAGCATCATCAGCATCCTCATTTTCAGCATATTCAGTATCATTCGTATCGTCAGAATCATCGGTATCGTCATCATCATCGTCAACATCACCATCCTCATTATCATTATCATCAGCATCATCATTATGGTCATCGCCATACTCATCATCATCATCATCATCATCATCATCATCATCAGCAGCAGCAGCAGCAGCAGCATCATCCTCGATATCATTATCGGCATCAGCATCAGCATGCTCGCCATCGTCACCATCGTCGTCCTCCTCCTCATTATCACAGTCATCATCATCATCATCATCATCATCATCATCATCATCATCATCATCATCATCATCATCATCATCATCATCATCATGATCATCATCGCCATCCTCACACACCCGCACTCTTATCCTCATCACCAGAAACATGGCCGTGGTCATGATCATGGTCATGAGCATGCTCGTCATAACCAGCATCATCAACATCGCCATCATCGCTGTCATAAACATCATCAGAATCGTCCTCGCCATCGAAACAGTCATCTTCGATGCCACCATGTTCATGCTCATCATCATCAGCAGCAGCATCATCCTCGTCATCGTCATCATCATCAGCAGCATGCTCGTCATCGATATCGTCACCAGAATCACCATCATCATCATCATCATCATCATCATCATAATCATCATCATCATCATCATCATCATCATCATCATCATCATCATCATCATCATCATCATCATCATCATCATTATCGTCATCAGCATCATCATAAACATCATCAACCTTATCAACATAATCACCATCGCCATCACCATAATCTATCACCATCAGCATCGTCACCATCATCGTCCTCGTCATCATCATCACCATCAACATCATCACCATCATCCGTATCATTCCCAGTACCATCATCATGGTCATCGTCATCGCCATCACCATTGCTTCATACTGTTATTCCTCCTCATCCTCCTCATCCTCATCATCATGGTGTTGGTGATGACATCACCGTCCCCCTCCTTCTCATCCTCATCATCATGATCAGCGACAGCAGCATCATCCCTCTGCCTCGGTCATCAGTCCTCCTTTCCCTCTGCCTTCTCCCCCTCCCTCTCAACCACTCCTCCTCCTCCCGATGTGCGACTCTGGCAGGTTTCTTGACCCTGGGCCTTACGGTTCTTGCACCCCGCCTCGTCGACCTCATGCTCCTCGGCCCACGTGTCGTGTCTCCACATTGACGTCTGCATCGGCCTGGCGGGGCATCTGGAGGGCTGGCGGAAGTAGCACCCGGGCCGCGACGGGTACCCGTCGATGATCTGGAGCTCGTCCACCTCCGATGGCGCGGGCGGGCGGCCGGCGGACTGCAGGGCATGGGAGGCGAAGGCAAGGCAGGAGCGAATTCGACTTGAGGGTACAGAGCTTTCGCTCAGCGTGTCGCGGCGGTGGCCCTGGCGACACGGTGTTGTATGCCCTGCAAGCGGAGATGGCGTGCCGCTCCGCTCCGCGGGGCGGGAGGCCGGGAAAGGCTCGGAACGTTGGCGCTCGGAGGCCGGGGCGTGCTGGCGCGTCGCGCCGAAGCGTGGTGGGCCAGAGACGGCGGCGCGACACGCTGAGCAAGCGTGCCTGACCGTAGGTCTGCGTCGAATTTGGCCACAACCGTTGGATTCGGGGGTACTGCGGGAGCCGGCACAAAATGCCTCCCTGCGGGGGCGGATGCAACACCCCACGGCGAGAGGCAAGACAACACCTCCGTGCTACCGTGACCACCCGAATATCAGCCCCGTCGCCGCAGCCCCAGCACCCGGTTCACCTTCCTCGCGCGAGGCAGCCGAAAGCGGGCGCAATGAGAACAAGCGGCAGTGGCGGCGACCGCCCGTGCCCAACGGCACGTGGTGGCGACCGCCCGCGACCGCAACTGGAAGGCAGGACAAAGGCGGCGCCGCACTCGGTGCCCGCGGTGCAGCACTCGGCCGTCCCCGCTCGGTGCCCTGTGGTTGCTGCCCTGCGGTCGGTTCCCTGGCTCGGTGCCCCATGGCTGGTGCCCCGTGGCTCCTGCGATACTGCAAACGGCCGCCCCCGCTCGGTGCCCCATGCTTGGGGCCCTACGGATTCCCTGGCTCCGTCCACCACTCTGTTTTGATCTGCATCGAACCACAGAGCTTGCACATCGGGAATGTCGGAACCTGCTGCTCGGGGACCACTGCCAAGTGGACCCCAAACGGTGCGTCATTGCCACACGCAGGCGGAAGCAATGCAGTGAACGCTATGTGGCGCGAGTTATCATGTGACCCATGCGGTGAACCCAGTGTGGTGTAAGCCATGCATTGTGCGAGCTATGTTGTGTGGTGTGAGATAAGATGCGTAAACTGTGCGGTAAGGCTTGTGTGGTGTGCGCCATGAGGTGAAAACAATGAAGTGTCATATATGGTGTGTAAGCTACGTCGTGCAAACTGCGCGGCGCAAGCTACGTGGTGCAAGATATGATTCAGCTATGCGACATGAACTATGTTGTGTAAAAGCTTCGCAGTGTGACATGTGTGGTACGCACTGTGACAGATGCGGTGCGCGCTATGTTTCGGAAACTATGCGGTGTAGTCTGTGTGCCGTGGGCAATGTTGTGTAAGCTATGCGTGAGCTATGCGATGCGAGATATGTTGTGCAACCGATGCTACCCACCCAAGGCACGGGCCCCCCACGAGGCGCCCACGAGGCGCCCACGGGGCGGGCAGCATGCGAAACCTCGGCATACCACCCCAGGGCGGGGAGCCCACGCGGCGCCCACGGGCGGGCACCATGCGAAACCTCGGCACACGCGGGGCGCCCACGAGGCGCCCACGGGCGGGCACCTGGCGAAACCTCGGCATACCCCCCCAAGCGCAGGGCGCTTCCGAGGCGTCCACGGGCAGGCACCACCAGGCGAAACCTCGGCATACTCCCCCAACACGGGGCGCCCACGAGGCTCCCACGGGCGGGCACCAGGCGCAACCCCGATACACGCCCCCAGCGCGGGGCGCCCACGAGGCGCCCACGGGCGCCCACCGATTGGGTATTGGCCCAAACCCCACCATACCAATTCAATTTCTGCATCTGCCACCCTGCCTGCGGCATGTTGAGGCGTGGAAGAATGCCATGGGCTGCCTGGCAGGGTTGCTGTAGACTTCCAAGGGACCCCCGCCCGCCCCGGTGGCACCCAGCCGACTGCACCACCCCTACTCCCAAGGGGTTCGTGGGCGGCCATGCCGCCTCCCTTGGACTCTCCAAGGCTTCCATGACGGCCCAGGAGGCCCCCAAGACGTTCCAAGAAGACCCCGAGACGCCGAACGAAGACGACAAAGATGGCCTCCATCGGGCCCAAGAGGCCTCCAAGACGCCTCAAGTGGCGTACAAGAAACCTCCTAAGGGGGCCCAAAGAGGCACCAGCCCTTGATTCCCTATCGGCGTGGAGCGATTTTAGCGTCTTCACCTTTTCTGATATCCGATGCTCCTAGACGGCCCAAGAAGCCCCCAAGAACACCCCAAAAACGGCTCAAGGGGCCTCCAAGAGGGCCCCAAGATGGCCCAAGAGCTTTCCAAGACGGCCCAAGAGGCGCCCAAGACTGCCCAAGAGGGTCCCAAGACGGCCCAAAGAAGAACCCACGAGAAGGAGCACGAACGGACAATTCGAGCCTTCCGCACCAAGAGGCCCCCAGGAGGCCCCAAGATGCGCCCAATAGGCCCTCAGAGGCCCCCAAGCGGCCCCCAGGGTGCCCCTCAGAGGCCCCCAAGAGACCCCAGAAAAAAAAGGCCCCCAAAGGTCCCAAAGCGGCCCTCAAGAGGCCTCAGAACTGCCGCGAAGAGGCCCCCGAGAGGGCGCCCACGAGATCCTCACGAGCATCCAGTAAGCTTCATACCCGCAGCCCAAGCACGGTGGCGGGACTTGCCGTAGGCATCTTGATAAACATGTAGGTACGTTGCTGCGCGGTGGGTGTGTAAGTCAATATGTGGTGCAAACTATGTGATGCACCCACCCGCAACTTGGTTTGCAGAAGCCCACGCGTGAGCGATTGCGATGAGTGCTGGGTGTGGACTGGTGCATGTCTGCGGCCGCGCTAGCCCGCGCATGCTCGCGCGCGCAGCGGCCAGCTAGTTTGGCGCGGCCGACGCGAACGCGGTGGCGCTGACCGCTCGGCACATCCCAGCGGGCACTTGGTGCGAGTCGGCGACTTGGGCGGGCGCGGTATCATGGCAACGTCGATAACGGGAGACACGATGATGATAGTAGCGCTGCTGGTGAAGATGCTGACAGCGATCACGGGGCAGCCAGTGACGGCGCCGATGCTGATCACGCCGACGATGATGACGGCGTCTTCGCGTCGGTGATTCAGGTCTTGGAAGGAATTCGAAATGCGCGAGCGGCAGACGCGCGAGAGTGGCTGACATGCATGGTATTATTTGGCACGGATCGTGGCACCCCAGCACGCGCGCAAGCGTGTTCGAACGCTTTCGACACGCGCGCGAGAAGCCCGTTCGGTAGCACGTTTTATGAACATGTTGAAAACTTAACTTATGATGTTCTTAAGAATTCGCAAGAACGCGCGCGCACGTTTTTGTTGAAAGTCCGTGTTGCGAAAGCATGTTTTTATATTGTTTGGACACTCGATGTTTAAATCCTTCTGAAGCGGAAATATGTTCCAGGATTTCGGCAAGCGCGCGACATTGCGCGCGTGTGCGCGCAGACTATTTCTTTGCAAGGGAACCAAAGGGGAACGGTACCAGCCTGGCTGGGATAGTAGGAATTCACAGGTAGGATGGACATTGGGACATAATCATATGTGTTTTGCATCGGTTCCCGGGGTATGGATGGGTCCAGGGGGGGAAGGGTGGTAGAACTTATCTTATAAAAACAAAAAAGAGAGAGAATCTACGAGGCGCAAGCTGAGAGATGTAATGGATGTGGCGTAGGGGATGTGGTGCAGGCTCGGAAATGCAAACTGTATGATGCAAGCGGGGTGTTGCAAGGTCCGTGGTGACAGGTATCTGATGCAAAACTCCGTTGGGCGGCCACGGGGCGGTCACGGGAGGCCACAGGGCGGCCGCGGGTGGCCACTGGGCGGCCACGGGCGGCCACGGGGCGGCAACGGGTGGCCACTGGGCAGCAAAAGCATCCGGTCACTCACCCAATTCCTTAGTAAGGCGCGCAAAGACCCCTGAGTGAAAACTTTGGGTGGGAATACGTTCCAATGTGACCTAACGTTCCAATGCGTCCTACGGTCACTAGAACAAGCATGGAAGAAAACACGTGATCCCTCAGTGATCCTCAGTGATCCTCGTGATCCCGCAGTGGTGCACCTTAGTAAGGCGCGCAAGGACCCCTGAGTGCAAGCTTTGGGTGGGACTTCGTTCCAATGTGACCTAACGTTCCAATGCGTCCTACGGTTACTAGAACAAGCATGGAAGAAAGCACGTGATCCCTCAGTGATCCTCAGTGATCCCGCAGTGGTGCACCTTAGTAAGGCGCGCAAGGACCCCTGAGTGAAAGCTTTTGGTGGGAATACGTTCCAATGTGACCTAACGTTCCAATGCGTCCTACGGTTACTAGAACAAGCATGGAAGAAAACACGTGATCCCTCAGTGATCCTCAGTGATCCTCGTGATCCCGCAGTGATCCTCGTCGACTTGCTTTCGGGTCGTACATCGGGTCTCTGGTGGCCGTTCGGAACTATCTGGACACACCCGGAACGCTTTCGGCAAAACGCAGCCGCTGGAACGCACCCCAGGCTGGAAAGCCGCCAAGGACCCACGGAACGCCAGAAAAGTCAAACCTGGATTCCGAGACAATCGTCCGCTCCTGCCCCACTCCCCTGCGGTTGCCCGTCCCCTCCTCAGCGGCCACTAGCCGTCTCGCCCTTCGGCTCCGAGGCGCTCTCGGCGAGGCGCAGCCGCTGGCACGCGCCCCGAGGCTGAAAAACCGCCGAGGACCAACGAACACGCCCGAAAACGTCGAACCTCGCTTCCGAGAAAGCCGTCGCCTGCTGCTCCTACCCCCGCTGCCCCCCCGCCGAGACTCGGGCTCGTTACAAGCAGAGCACTCACACACACAAACACTTTTCCACCAGAAACGGTACTTCACATCCTGCAGCAAAGGCTTCGAAATCGCTGCTGCTCCGCGAGACCGACCATTTCAGAACCAGGACGACGATTCTGCAGCACAGGAAGACTACGGTCAGGAACTTTTGCATGGCGAGTCGCCGCGGCGGCCCCGGCGACACGCTATGCCGTGCGAGCGGATGCCGCGTCGCTCCGAATCGCAAGGGAGCGGATAGCGTGCCGCGCCGAAGCGTGGTGGGCCAGAACCCGCGGGCCGCACTCTACGACCCGCAGGGGCCCCGCTATGGCCAGAGCGACCACTTTACAACCCAAGGGCCTGCTCGGAGGCCGCCTCCACGCGCGGCGCGTCCGATGCGGGCGGCTCCGCGCCCCCCGCCGCGGCACCCGCGCCACCGGCCTGCGGAGGGCGGCGACGGCGGCGACGGCGGCGACGACGACCTCGAGCAGGGACCGACCGCCCCGACATTCCTGCCACGAGGTGCTCCCTGGAACAACAGAGCCGACCGTCCGACCACCGACCGTGACCGAAGTGTTCTCAGCGCCGAAACATGTTCGAGGAGCAGCAGCCGACGCATCAAAGCAGGACGGCCTCAGCCAAAAATGTTCGAAACACACGTGGTGCAGAGGCGACGGCGGCGGCGGCGGGCGGCGGGCGGCAGAAGGGCGGAGAGCACGAGCACGTCGCTCCCCAGGCGGTGGATACGTGTGACCCAAAGAGGAGGAGAAGCGGTAGGAGAAAGGGCGGCGGTAGGAGTATTACAGACTTTGTCTGCGTGCGTGTGTACCTGATGCTGGCCGGTGTACGCTTGAGCACCGGCAGGAAGAGGCAGGGGCCGAAGGAGATAGACCCAAACATCCGACGGTGTGTGCGGCTTTTTTCCCCACGAGCGACCCCAGAGCTCCCGACCACTTTCCCCCCTTCCCCAGGGACAACTTCCCATCGCGGATCCAGGCTAGATGGCCCCAGGGCCCGAAAAGAGTCTCCCAGGGCCTCACCCGATGAGAACACACAGGGATGTCCCAGGGCCTCAACCGAGGAGAACACACAGGGATTGGAAAACAAACATTCGAACATGCAGGGGTGCAGTCATCCTGCTATCAAAAGGAGCGCTGGACCAGGAACGCCGGGGCTTGTCTGGCCACGGCGAGCCTCGGCCACGAAGAGGCTCCCCGACCCAGGCCCGAGGAAGGGCCCGAAAACCAGGGCACCTCCTAAGCCCAACGCGGCCCATATTTCAGCGCCGCGACTGTATGAGAAGGATCGGGCCTCCGATGGGGTCCCATTGGCGGCGGCGTTGTCGGAGCGGGTGCCGGACCCCTCTGGGCCGGGCTCGTCGTCGAGCTCACCCTTGATGTGCACCACCTTCGTGTCTTCGGCATCGCAGTATCTGTCCCAGTAGCCCTTGGCGGGGGGCCGAAACATGAAAGAGTGCAAGGGCCACCCCCTCCCCATTCCCCTCCACCTCTCCTCCTCCTCCTCCTTTTCCTCCTCCTCCTCCTCCTCCTCCTCCTCCTCCTCCTCCTCCTCCTCCCCCTCATCCCCCCATCCTCCCTCTACCCATCATCCTCCTCGTCCTCCTCCTCATCCTCCTCCTCCTCTTCCTCCTCCTCCTCAGCATCATCATCATCATCATCAACAACAGCATCAACCAAATCGTCGTCATGAGCAGCATGGTGTTCATCATCATAATAATAATCATCATAATCATCGCCAGCATCAGCATCAGCATCATCATAACCATCGTAATGCTCATCATCATCATCATCATCATCATCATCAGCATCATCATCATCAGAATCGTCATAATCGTCATCATCTGCAGTATCCTCATAATCAGCATGATCAGCATCATCGTAAGCATCATCAGCATCCTCGTCTTCAGCATCTTCAGTATCATTCGCATCGTCAGAATCATCGGTATCGTCATCATCATCGTCAACATCATCATCATCCTCATCATCATCAGCATCATCATGGTCATCGCCGTACTCATCATCATCAGCAGCATCATCCTCGATATCATCATCGTCATCAGCATCAGCATGCTCGTCATCGTCATCATCGTCGTCCTCCTCATGATCACAATCATCATCATCATCATCATCATCATCAACAACATCAACATCATCATCATCAACAGCATCATCGCCATCCTCACACACCCGCACTCTTATCCTCATCACCAGAAAAATGGCCGTGGTCATGACCATGATCATGAGCATGCTCGTCATAACCAGCATCATCGGCATCGCCATCATCGCTGTCACAAACATCATCATAATCGTGCTCGCCATCGAAACAGTCATCTTCGATGCCACCATTTTCATGCTCATCATCATCAGCAGCATCATCCTCGTCATCGTCAATATCATCAGCAGCATGCTCGTCATCGACATCGTCACCATAATCACCATCATCGTCATCATCATCATCATCATCATCATCACCATCATCATCATCATCGTCATCAGCATCATCATAAGCATCATCAATCTCATCAACATAATCACCATCGCCATCACCAGAATCCATCACCATCATCATCGTCACCATCATCGTCCTCGTCATCATCATCACCATCAACATCATCACCATCATCCGTATCATTCCCAGTACCATCATCCTGGTCATCGTCATCGCCATCACCATTGCTTCATACTATTATTCCTCCTCATCCTCCTCATCCTCATCACCATGGTGTCGGTGATGACATCACCGTCCCCCTCCTTCTCATCCTCATCATCATCAGCGACAGCAGCATCATCCCTCTGCCTCGGTCATCAGTCCTCCTTTCCCTCTGCCTTCTCCCCCTCCCTCTCAACCACTCCTCCTCCTCCCGATGTGCGGCTCTGGCAGGTTTCTTGACCCTGGGCCTTACGGTTCTTGCACCCCGCCTCGTCGACCTCATGCTCCTCGGCCCATGTGTCGTGCCTCCACATTGACGTATGCATCGGCCTGGCGGGGCATCTGGAGGGCTGGCGGAAGTAGCACCCGGGCCGCGACGGGTACCCGTTGATGATCTGGAGCTCGTCCACCTCCGATGGCGCGGGCGGGCGGCCGGCGGACTGCAGGGCATGGGGGGCGAAGGCAAGGCAGGAGCGAATTCGACTTGAGGGTACAGAGCTTTCGCTCAGCGTGTCGCGGCGGTGGCCCTGGCGACACGGTCTTGTATGCCCTGCAAGCGGAGATGGCGTGCCGCTCCGCTCCGCGGGGCGGGAGGCCGGGAAAGGCTCGGAACGTTGGCGCTCGGAGGCCGGGGCGTGCTGGCGCGTCGCGCCGAAGCGTGGTGGGCCAGAGCCGGCGGCGCGACACGCTGAGCAAGCGTGCCTGACCGTAGGTCTGCGTCGAATTTGGCCACAACCGTTGGATTCGGGGGTACTGCGGGAGCCGGCACAAAATGCCTCCCTGCGGGGGCGGATGCAACACCCCACGGCGAGAGGCAAGACAACACCTCCGTGCTACCGTGATCACCCGAATATCAGCCCCGTCGCCGCAGCCCCAGCACCCGGTTCACCTTCCTCGCGCGAGGCAGCCGAAAGCGGGCGCCATGAGAACAAGCGGCAATGGCGGCGACCGCCCGTGCCCAACGGCACGTGGTGGCGACCGCCCGCGACCGCAAACGGAAGGCAGGACAAAGGCGGCGCCGCACTCGGTGCCCGCGGTGCAGCACTCGGCCGTCCCCGCTCGGTGCCCCGTGGTTGCTGCCCTGCGGTCGGTTCCCTGGCTCGGTGCCCCATGGCTGGTGCCCCGTGGCTCCTGCGATACTGCAAACGGCCGCCCCCGCTCGGTGCCCCATGCTTGGTGCTCTACGGATTCCCTGGCTCCGTCCACCACTCTGTTTTGATCTGCATCGAACCACGGAGCTTGCACATCGGGAATGTCGGAACCTGCTGCTCGGGGACCACTGCCGAGTGGACCCCAAACGGTGCGTCATTGCCACACGCAGGCGGAAGCAATGCAGTGAAAGCTATGTGGCGCGAGTTATCATGTGACCCATGCGGTGAAACCAGTGTGGTGTGTGTCGTGCGAGCTGTGTTGTGTGGTGTGAGCTAAGATGCGTAAACTGTGCGGTAAGGTTTGTGTGGTGTGCGCCATGCAGTGAAAGCTATGATGTGTAAGATATGGCGTGTAAGCTACGTCGTGTACACTGCGCGGCGCAAGCTACGTGGTGCAATATATGATTCAGATATGCGGTATGAGCGGTGTTGTATAACAGCTTCGCAGTGTGACATATGTGGTGCGCACTGTGACAGATGCGGTGCGCACTATGTTTCGGAAGCTGTGCGGTGTAGTCTGTGTGCTGTGGGCAATGTTGTGTAAGCTATGCGTAAGCTATGCGATGCGAGATATGTTGTGCAACCGATGCTACCCACCCAAGGCACGGGCCCCCCACGAGGCGCCCACGAGGCGCCCACGGGGCGGGCAGCATGCGAAACCTCGGCATACCACCGCAGGGCGGGGAGCCCACGCGGCGCCCACGGGCGGGCACCATGCGAAGCCTCGGCACACGCGGGGCGCCCACGAGGCGCCCACGGGCGGGCACCTGGCGAAACCTCGGCATACCCCCCCAAGCGCAGGGCGCTTCCGAGGCGTCCACGGGCAGGCACCACCAGGCGAAACCCCGGCAGACTCCCCCAACACGGGGCGCCCACGAGGCTCCCACGGGCGGGCACCAGGCGCAACCCCGATACACGCCCCGAGCGCGGGGCGCCCACGAGGCGCCCACGGGCGCCCACCGATTGGGTATTGGCCCAAACCCGACCATACCAATTCAATTTCTGCATCTGCCACCCTGCCTGCGGCACGTTGAGGCGTGGAAGAATGCCATGGGCTGCCTGGCAGGGTTGCTGTAGACTTCCAAGGGACCCCCGCCCGCCCCGGTGGCACCCAGCCGACTGCACCACCCCTACTCCCAAGGGGTTCGTGGGCGGCCATGCCGCCTCCCTTGGGCTCTCCAAGGCTTCCATGACGGCCCTAGAGGCCCCCAAGACGTTCCAAGAAGACCCCGAGACACCGAACGAAGACGACAAAGATGGCCTCCATCGGGCCCAAGAGGCCAAGACGCCTCAAGTGGCGTACAAGAAACCTCCCAAGGGGGCCCAAAGAGGCACCAGCCCTTGATTCCCTATCGGTTTGGAGCGATTTTAGCGTCTTCACCTTTTCGGATATCCGATGCTCCAAGACGGCCCAAGAAGCCCCCAAGAACATCCCAAAAACGGCTCAAGGGGCCTCCAAGAGGGCCCCAAGATGGCCTAAGAGCTTTCCAAGATGGCCCAAGAGGCGCCCAAGACTGCCCAAGAGGGCCCCAAGACGGCCCAAAGAAGAACCCACGAGAAGGAGCAAGAACGGACAATCCGAGCCTTCCGCACCAAGAGGCCCCCAGGAAGCTCCAAGATGCGCCCAATAGGCCCTCAGAGGCCCCCAAGAGGCCCCCAGGGAGCCCCAAGAGGTCCCTAAGAGACCCCAGAAAAAAAAGGCCCCCAAAGGCCCCAAAGCGGCCCTCAAGAGGCCTCAGAACTGCCGCGAAGAGGCCCCCGAGAGGGCGCCCACGAGATCCTTACGAGCATCCAGTAAGCTTCATACCCGCAGCCCAAGCACGATGGCGGGACTTGCCGTAGGCATCTGGATAAACATGTACGTACGTTGTTGCGCGGTGGGTATGTAAGTCAACATGTGGTGCAAACTATGTGGTGCACCCACCCGCAACTTGGTTTGCAGAAGCCCATGCGCGAGCGATTGCGATGAGTGCTGGGTGTGGACTGGTGCATGTCTGCGGCCGCGCTAGCCCGCGCATGCTCGCGCGCGCAGCGGCCAGCTAGTTTGGCGCGACCGACGCGAACGCGGGGGCGCTGACCGCTCGGCACATCCCAGCGGGCACTTGGTGCGAGTCGGCGACTTGGGCGGGCGCGGTATCATGGCAACGTCGACACCGGGAGGCACGATGATGAGTAGCGCTGCTGGTGAAGATGCTGACAGCGATCACGGGGCAGCCAGTGACGGCGCCGATGCTGATCACGCCGGCGATGATGACGGCGTCTTCGCGTCGGTGGTTCAGGTCTTGGAAGGGATTCGAAATGCGCGACGGCAGACGCGCGAGAGTGGCTGACATGCATGGTATTATTTGGCACGGATCGTGCCACCCCAGCACGCGCGCAAGGGTGTTCGAACGCTTTTGACACGCGCGCGAGAAGCCCGTTCGGTAGCACGTTTTATGAACATGTTGAAAACTTAACTTATCATTTTCTTAAGAATTCGCAAGAACGCGCGCGCACATTTTTGTTGAAAGTCCGTGCTGCGAGACCATGTTTTTATGCTGTTTGGACACTCGATGTATCCTTCTGAAACGGAACAATGTTCAAGGACTTCGGCATGCGCGCGCGACATCGCGCGCGTGTGCGCGCGCATACTATATCTTTGTAAGGGAACCAAAAGGGGGAACGATGCCAGCCCGGCTGGGATAGTAGGAATTCACAGGTAGGATGGACATTGGGTCATAATCATATGTGTGTCGCATCGGTTCCCGGGGTATGGATAAGTCCGGGGGGGGGGGAGGGTGGTAGAACCTATCTCTCTTTAAAACAAGAAAGGAGAATCTACGAGGTGCAAGCTGAGAGATGTAAGGGATGTGGCGTAGGGGATGTGGTGCAGGCTCGGCAATGCAGACGGTATGATGCAAGCGGGGTGTCGCAGGGTCCGTGGTGCAGCCTACGTGCTGCACGCTGCGTGGTGTAAGCTATGGGCGGTCACGGGGCGGTCACGGGGCGGTCACGAGCGGCCACGGGGCGGTCACGGGGCGGTCACGAGCGGTCCTGATGCAAACTCCGTCGGGCGGCCACGGGGCGGTCACGGGCGGCCACAGGGCGGCCGCGGGTGGCCACGGGGCGGCCACGGGCGGCCACGGGGCGGCCACGGGTGGCCACTGGGCGGCAAAAGCATCCGGTCACTCACCCAATTCCTTAGTAAGGCGCGCAAAGACCCCTGAGTGCAAGCTTTGGGTGGGGATACGTTCCAATGTGACCTAACGTTCCAATGCGTCCTACGGTTACTAGAACAAGCATAGAAGAAAGCACGTGATCCCTCAGTGATCCTCAGTGATCCTCGTGATCCCGCAGTGGTGCACCTCAGTAAGGCGCGCAAGGACCCCTGAGTGCAAGCTTTGGGTGGGGATACGTTCCAATGTGAGCTACCGTTCCAATGCGTCCTACGGTTACTAGAACAAGCATAGAAGAAAGCACGTGATGCCTCAGTGATCCTGAGTGATCCTCGTGATCCCGCAGTGATCCTCGTCGACTCGCTCTCGGGTCGTACATCGGGTCTCTGGTGGCCGTTCGGGGCTATCTGGACACACCCGGAACGCTTTCGGCAAAACGCAGCCGCTGGAAGGCACCCCAGGCTGGAAAGCCGCCAAGGACCCACGGAAACGCCAGAAAAACTCAAACCTGGATTCCGAGACAATCGTCCGCTCCTGCACCACTCCCCTGAGGTTGCCCGTCCCCTCCTCAGCGGCCACTAGCCGTCTCGCCCTTCGGCTCCGAGGCGCTCTCGGCGAGGCGCAGCCGCTGGCACGCGCCCCGAGGCTGAAAAACCGCCGAGGACCAACGATCACGCCCGAAAACGTCGAACCTCGCTTCCGAGAAAGCCGTCGCCTGCTGCTCCTACCCCCGCTGCCCCCCCGCCGAGACTCGGGCACGTTACAAGCAGAGCACTCACACACACACAAACACTTTTCAACCAGAAACGGTACTTCACATCCTGCAGCAAAGGCTTCGAAATCGCTGCTGCTCCGCGAGACCGACCATTTCAGAACCAGGACGACAATTCTACAGCACAGGAAGACTACGGTCAGGAACTTTTGCATGGCGAGTCGCCGCGGCGGCCCCGGCGACACGCTATGCCGTGCGAGCGGATGCCGCGTCGCTCCGAATCGCAGGGGAGCGGATAGCGTGCCGCGCCGAAGCGTGGTGGGCCAGAACCCGCGGGCCGCACTCTACGACCCGCAGGGGCCCCGCTATGGCCAGAGCGACCACTTTACAACCCGAGGGCCTGCTCGGAGGCCGCCTCCACGCGCGGCGCGTCCGATGCGGGCGGCTCCGCGCCCCCCGCCGCGGCACCCGCGCCGCCGGCCTGCGGAGGGCGGCGACGGCGGCGACGGCGGCGACGACGACCTGGAGCAGGGACCGACCGCCGCGACATTCCTGCCACGAGGTGCTCCCTGGAACAACAGAGCCGACCGTCCGACCACCGACCGTGACCGAAGTGTTCTCAGCGCCGGAACATGTTCGAGGAGCAGCAGCCGACGCATCAAAGCAGGACGGCCTCAGCCAAAAATGTTCGAACACACACGTGGTGCAGAGGCGACGGCGGCGGCGGCGGGCGGCGGGCGGCAGAAGGGCGGAGAGCACGAGAACGTCGCTCCCCAGGCGGTGGACACGTGTGACGCAAAGAGGAGGAGAACCGGCAGGAGAAAGGGCGGCGGTAGGAGTATTACAGACTTTGTCTGCGTGCGTGTGTACCTGATGCTGGCCGGTGTACGCTTGAGCACCGGCAGGAAGAGGCAGGGGCCGAAGGAGATAGACCCAAACATCCGACGGTGTGTGCGGCGTTTTCCCCACCAGCGACCCCAGAGCTCCCGACCACTCTCCCCCCTTCCCCAGGGACAACTTCCCATCGCGGATCCAGGCTAGATGGCCCCAGGGCCCGAAAAGAATCTCCCAGGGCCTCACCCGATGAGAACACACAGGGATTGGAACACAAACATTCGAACATGCGGAGGTGCAGTCATCCTGCTATCAAAAGGAGCGCTGGACCAGGAACGCCGGGGCTTGTCTGGCCACGGCGAGCCTCGGCCACGAAGAGGCTCCCCGACCCAGGCCCGAGGAAGGGCCCGAAAACCAGGGCACCTCCTAAGCCCAACGCGGCCCATATTTCAGCGCCGCGACTGTATGAGAAGGATCGGGCCTCCGATGGGGTCCCATTGGCGGCGGCGTTGTCGGAGCGGGTGCCGGACCCCTCTGGGCCGGGCTCGTCGTCGAGCTCACCCTTGATGTGCACCACCTTCGTGTCTTCGGCATCGCAGTATGTGTCCCAGTAGCCCTTGGCGGGGGGCCGAAACATGAAACAGTGCAAGGGCCACGCCCTCCCCATTCCCCTCCACCTCTCCTCCTCCTCCTCCTCCTCCTCCTCCTCCTCCTCCTCCTCCTCCTCCTCCTCCTCCTCCCTCTACCCATCATCCTCCTCGTCCTCCTCCTCATCCTCATCCTCCTCTTCCTCCTCCTCCTCCTCCTCAGCATCGTCATGATCAACAACAACATCAACAACATCGTCATCATGAGCAGCATGGTGTTTATCATCATAATAATCATCATAATCATCGCCAGCATCAGCATCAACATCATCATAACCATCATCATGCTCATCATCATCAGCATCATCATCATTATCATCATCAGAATCGTCATAATCGTCATCTTCTGCAGTATCCTCATAATCAGCATGACCAGCATCATCGTGAGCATTCTCAGCATCATCCTCGTTTTCAGCATCTTCAGTATCATTCGCATCGTCAGAATCTTCGGTATCGTCATCATAATCGTCAACATCATCATCCTCATCATCATTATCATCAGCATCATCATGGTCATCACCATACTCATCATCATCAGCATCATCATCATCATCAGCAGCAGCAGCAGCAGCATCATCCTCGATATCATTATCGTCATCAGCATCAGCATGCTCGTCATCGTCATCATCGTCGTCCTCCTCCTCATGATCACAATCATCATCATTACCATCATCATCATCATCATCATCATCATCATCATCATCATCATCATCATCATCATCGCCATCCTCACACACCCGCACTCTTACCCTCATCACCAGAAACATGGCAGTGGTCATGATCATGATCATGAGCATGCTCGTCACAACCAGCATCATCGATATAGCCATCATCGCTGTCATAAACATCATCATAATCGTCCTCGCCATCGAAACAGTCATCTTCGATGCCACCATGTTCATGCCCATCATCATAAGCAGCATCATCCTCGTGATCGTCATCATCATCAGCAGCATGCTCGTCATCGGCATCGACACCAGAATCACCATCATCATCATCATCATCATCATCATCATCATCATCATCATCGTCATCAGCATCATCATAAACATCATGAACCCCATCAACATAATCACCATCGCCATCACCATAATCTATCACCATCATCATCGTCACCATCATCGTCCTCATCATCATCATCATCACCATCAACATCATCACCATCATCCGTATCATTCCCCAGTACCATCATCATGGTCAATCGTCATCGCCATCACCATTGCTTCATACTGTTATTCCTCCTCATCCTCATCATCATGGTGTTGGTGATGACATCACCGTCCCCCTCCTTCTCATCCTCATCATCATGATCAGCGACAGCAGCATCATCCCTCTGCCTCGGTCATCAGTCCTCCTTTCCCTCTGCCTTCTCCCCCTCCCTCTCAACGACTCCTCCTCCTCCTCCTCCTCCTCCTCCCGATGTGCGACTCTGGCAGGTTTCCCCTGGGCCTTACGGCTCTTGCACCCCGCCTCGTCGACCTCATGCTCCTCGGCCCATGTGTCGTGCCTCCACATTGTCGTCTGCATCGGCCTGGCGGGGCATCTGGAGGGCTGGCGGAAGTAGCACCCGGGCCGCGACGGGTACCCGTTGATGATCTGGAACTCGTCCACCTCAGATGGCGCGGGCGGGCGGCCGGCGGACTGCAGGGCATGGCGGACGAAGGCAAGGCAGGAGCGAATTCGACTTGAGGGTACAGAGCTTTCGCTCAGCGTGTCGCGGCGGTGGCCCTGGCGACACGGTCTTGTATGCCTTGCAAGCGGAGATGGCGTGCCGCTCCGCTCCGCGGGGCGGGAGGCCGGGAAAGGCTCGGAACGTTGGCGCTCGGAGGCCGGGGCGTGCTGGCGCGTCGCGCCGAAGCGTGGTGGGCCAGAACCGGCGGCGCGACACGCTGAGCAAGCGTGCCTGACCGTAGGTCTGCGTCGATTTTGGCCACAACCGTTGGATTCGGGGGTATTGCGGGAGCCGGCACAAAATGCCTCCCTGCGGGGGCGGATGCAACACCCCACGGCGAGAGGCAAGACAATACCTCCGTGCTCCCGTGATCACCCGAATATCAGCCCCGTCGCCGCAGCCCCAGCACCCGGTTCACATTCCTCGCGCGAGGCAGCCGAAGGCGGGCGCCATGAGAACAAGCGGCAGTGGCGGCGACCGCCCGTGCCCAACGGCACGTGGTGGCGACCGCCCGCGACCGCAACTGGAAGGCAGGACAAAGGCGGCGCCGCACTCGGTGCCCGCGGTGCAGCACTCGGCCGACCCCGCTCGGTGCCCTGTGGTTGCTGCCCTGCGGTCGGTTCCCTGGCTCGGTGCCCCATGGCTGGTGCCCCGTGGCTCCTGCGATACTGCAAACGGCCGCCCCCGCTCGGTGCCCCATGCTTGGTGCCCTACGGATTCCCTGGCTCCGTCCACCACTCTGTTTTGATCTGCATCGAACCACAGAGCTTGCACATCGGGAATGTCGGAACCTGCTGCTCGGGGACCACTACCAAGTGGACCCCAAACGGTGCGTCATTGCCACACGCAGGTGGAAGCAATGCAGTGAAAGCTATGTGGCGCGAGTTATCATGTGACCCATGCGGTGAGACCAGTGTGGTGTAAGCCATGCATTGTGCGAGTTGTGTTGTGTGGTGTGAGATAAGATGCGTAAACTGTGCGGTAAGGCTTGTGTGGTCCGCGCCATGAGGTGAAAACAATGAAGTGCCATGTATGGTGTGTAAGCTACGTCGTGCAAACTGCGCGGCGCAAGCTACGTGGTGCAAGACATGATTCAGCTATGCGACATGAACTATGTTGTGTAAAAGCTTCGCAGTATGACATGTGTGGTACGCAGTGTGACAGATGCGGTGCGCGCTATGTTTCGGAAACTATGCGGTGTAGTCTGTGTGCCGTGGGCAATGTTGTGTAAGCTATGCGTAAGCTGTGCGAGGTGAGATATGCTGGGCAACCGATGTTACCCACCCAGGGCACGGCCCCCCCACGAGGCGCCCACGAGGCGCCCACGGGGCGGGCAGCATGCGAAACCTCGGCATACCAACCCAGGGCGGGGAGCCCACGCGGCGCCCACGGGCGGGCACCATGCGAAACCTCGGCACACGCGGGGCGCCCACGAGGCGCCCACTGGCGGGCACCTGGCGAAACCTCGGCATACCCCCCCAAGCGCAGGGCGCTTCCGAGGCGTCCACGGGCAGGCACCACCAGGCGAAACCTCGGCATACTCCCCCAACACGGGGCGCCCACGAGGCTCCCACGGGCGGGCACCAGGCGCAACCCCGATACACGCCCCAAGCGCGGGGCGCCCACGAGGCGCCCACGGGCGCCCACCGATTGGGTATTGGCCCAAACCCTACCATACCAATCCAATTTCTGCATCTGCCACCCTGCCTGCGGCACGTTGAGGCGTGGAAGAATGCCATGGGCTGCCTGGCAGGGTTCCTGTAGACTTCCAAGGGACCCCCGCCCGCCTCGGTGACACCCAGCCGACTGCACCACCCCTACTCCCAAGGGGTTCGTGGGCAGCCATGCCGCCTCCCTTGGACTCTCCAAGGCTTCCATGACGGCCCAGGAGGCCCCCAAGAGGTTCCAAGAAGACCCCGAGACGCCGAACGAAGACGACAAAGATGGCCTCCATCGGGCCCAAGAGGCCTCCAAGACGCCTCAAGTGGCGTACAAGAAACCTCCCAAGGGGGCCCAAAGAAGCACCAGCCCTTGATTCCCTATCGGTGTGGAGCGATTTTAGCGTCTTCACCGTTTCGGATATCCGATGCTCCTAGACGGCCCAAGAAGCCCCCAAGAACACCCCAAAAGCGGCTCAAGGGGCCTCCAAGAGGGCCCCAAGATGGCCTAAGAGCTTTCCAAGACGGCCCAAGCGGCGCCCAAGACTGCCCAAGATTGTCCCAAGACGGCCCAAAGAAGAACCCACGAGAAGGAGCACGAACGGACAATTCGAGCCTTCCGCACCAAGAGGCCCCCAGGAGGCCCCAAGATGCGCCCAATAGGCCCTCAGAGGCCCCCAAGCGGCCCCCAGGGTGCCCCAAGAGGCCAATAAGAGACCCCAGAAAAAGGCCCCCAAAGGCCCCAAAGCGGCCCTCAAGAGGCCTCAGAACTGCCGCGAAGAGGCCCCCGAGAGGGCGCCCACGAGATCCTGACGAGCATCCAGTAAGCTTCATACCCGCAGCCCAAGCACGGTGGCAGGACTTGCCGTAGGCATCTTGATAAACATGTAGGTACGTTGTTGCGCGGTGGGTGTGTAAGTCAATATGTGGTGCAATCTATGTGATGCACCCACCCGCAACTTGGTTTGCAGAAGCCCACGCGTGAGCGATTGCGATGAGTGCTGGGTGTGGACTGGTGCATATCTGCGGCCGCGCTAGCCCGCGCATGCTCGCGCGCGCAGCGGTCAGCTAGTTTGGCGCGGCCGACGCGAACGCGGTGGCGCTGACCGCTCGGCACATCCCAGCGGGCACTTGGTGCGAGTTGGCGACTTGGGCGGGCGCGGTATCATGGCAACGTCGACAACGGGAGACACGATGATGATAGTAGCGCTGCTGGTAAAGATGCTGACAGCGATCACGGGGCAGCCAGTGACGGCGCCGATGCTGATCACGCCGGCGATGATCACGGCGTCTTCGCGTCGGTGATTCAAGTCTTGTTGGAAGGAATTCGAAATGCGCGAGCGGCAGACGCGCGAGAGTGGCTGACATGCATGGTATTATTTGGCACGGATCGTGCCACCCCAGCACGCGCGCAAGGGTGTTCGAACGCTTTCGACACGCGCGCGAGAAGCCCGTTCGATAGCACGTTTTATGAACATGTTGAAAACTTAACTTATGACTTTCTTCAGAATTCGCGTTCAAGGACTTCGGCAAGCGCGCGACATCGCGCGCGTGTGCGCGCAGACTATTTCTTCGCAAGGGAACCAAAGGGGAACGGTACCAGCCTGGCTGGGATAGTAGGAATTCACAGGTAGGATGGACAGTGGGTCATAATCATGTGTGTTTTGCATCGGTTCCCGGGGTATGGATAGGTCCAGGGGGGGGGGAAGGGTGGTAGAACCAATCTCTCTTTAAAACAAGAAAGGAGACTCTACGAGGTGCAAGCTGAGAGATGTAAGGGATGTGGCGTAGGGGATGTGGTGCAGGCTCGGCAATGCAGACGGTATGATGCAAGCGGGGTGTCGCAGGGTCCGTGGTGCAGCCTACGTGCTGCACGCTGCGTGGTGTAAGCTATGGGCGGTCACGGGGCGGTCACGGGGCGGTCACGAGCGGCCACGGGGCGGTCACGGGGCGGTCACGAGCGGTCCTGATGCAAACTCCGTCGGGCGGCCACGGGGCGGTCACGGGCGGCCACAGGGCGGCCGCGGGTGGCCACGGGGCGGCCACGGGCGGCCACGGGGCGGCAACGGGTGGCCACTGGGCGGCAAAAGCATCCCGTCACTCACCCAATTCCTTAGTAAGGCGCGCAAGGACCCCTGAGTGCAAGCTTTGGGTGGGGATACGTTCCAATGTGACCTAACGTTCCAATGCGTCCTACGGTTACTAGAACAAGCATAGAAGAAAGAACGTCATCCCTCAGTGATCCTCAGTGATCCTCAGTGATCCCGCAGTGGTGCACCTTAGTAAGGCGCGCAAGGACCCCTGAGTGCAAGCTTTGGGTGGGAATACGTTCCAATGCGACCTAACGTTCCAATGCGTCCTACGGTTACTAGAACAAGCATAGAAGAAAGCACGTGATCCCCCGGTGATCCCCAGTGATCCTCGTGATCCCGCAGTGATCCTCGTCGACTGGCTTTCGGGTCGTACATCGGGTCTCTGGTGGCCGTTCGGGGCTATCTGGACACACCCGGAACGCTCTCGGCAGAACGCAGCCGCTGGAACGCACCCCAGGCTGGAAAGCCGCCAAGGACCCACGGAAATGCCAGAAAGAGTCAAACCTGGATTCCGAGACAATCGTCCGCTCCTGCCCCACTCCCCTGCGGTTGCCCGTCCCCCCCTCAGCGGCCACTAGCCGTCTCGCCCTTCGGCTCCGAGGCGCTCTCGGCGAGGCGCAGCCGCTGGAACGCGCCCCAAGGCTGAAAAACCGCCCAGGCCGAGGACCAACGATCACGCCCGAAAACGTGGAACCTCGCTTCCGAGAAAGCCGTCGCCTGCTGCTCCTACCCCCGCTGCCCCCCCGCCGAGACTCGGGCTCGTTACAAGCAGAGCACTCACACACACAAACACTTTTCAACCAGAAACGGTACTTCACATCCAGCAGCAAAGGCTTCGAAATCGCTGCTGCTCCGCGAGACCGACCATTTCAGAACCAGGACGACGATTCTACAGCACAGGAAGACTACGGTCAGGAACTGTTGCATGGCGAGTCGCCGCGGCGGCCCCGGCGACACGCTATGCCGTGCGAGCGGATGCCGCGTCGCTCCGAATCGCAGGGGAGCGGATAGCGTGCCGCGCCGAAGCGTGGTGGGCCAGAACCCGCGGGCCGCACTCTACGACCCGCAGGGGCCCCGCTATGGCCAGAGCGACCACTTTACAACCCGAGGGCCTGCTCGGAGGCCGCCTCCACGCGCGGCGCGTCCGATGCGGGCGGCTCCGCGCCCCCCGCCGCGGCACCCGCGCCGCCGGCCTGCCGAGGGCGGCGACGGCGGCGACGGCGGCGACAACGACCTCGAGCAGGGACCGACCGCCGCGACATTCCTGCCTCGAGGTGCTCCTTGGAACAGCAGAGCCGACCGTCCGACCACCGACCGTGACCGAAGTGTTCTCAGCGCCGAAACATGTTCGAGGAGCAGAAGCCGACGCATCAAAGCAGGACGGCCTCAGCCAAAAATGTTCGAAACACACGTGGTGCAGAGGCGACGGCGGCGGCGGCGGGCGGCGGGCGGCAGAAGGGCGGAAAGCACGAGCACGTCGCTCCCCAGGCGGTGGATACGTGTGACGCAGAGAGGAGGAGAAGCGGTAGGAGAAAGGGCGGCGGTAGGAGTATTACAGACTTTGTCTGCGTGCGTGTGTACCTGATGCTGGCCGGCGTACGCTTGAGCACCGGCAGGAAGAGGCAGGGGCCGAAGGAGATAGACCCAAACATCCGAGGGTGCGTGCGGCTTTTTCCCTACCAGCGACCCCAGAGCTCCCGACCACTTCCCCCTTCCCCAGGGACAACTTCCCATCGCGGATCCAGGCTAGATGACCCCAGGGCCCGAAAAGAGTCTCCCAGGGCCTCAACCGATGAGAACACACAGGGATTGGAACACAAACATTCGAACATGCGGAGGTGCAGTCATCCTGCTATTTAAAGGAGCGCTGGACCAGGAACGCCGGGGCTTGTCTGGCCACGGCGAGCCTCGGCCACGAAGAGGCTCCCCGACCCAGGCCCGAGGAAGGGCCCGAAAACCAGGGTACCTCCTAAGCCCAACGCGGCCCATATTTCAGCGCCGCGACTGTATGAGAAGGATCGGGCCTCCGATGGGGTCCCATTGGCGGCGGCGTTGTCGGAGCGGGTGCCGGACCCCTCTGGGCCGGGCTCGTCGTCGAGCTCACCCTTGATGTGCACCACCTTCGTGTCTTCGGCATCGCAGTATCTGTCCCAGTAGCCCTTGGCGGGGGGCCGAAACATGAAACAGTGCAAGGGCCACGCCCTCCCCATTCCCCTCCACCTCTCCTCCTCCTCCTCCTCCTCCTCCTCCTCCTCCTCCTCCTCCTCCTCCTCCTCCTCCTCCCTCTACCCATCATCCTCCTCGTCCTCCTCCTCATCCTCATCCTCCTCTTCCTCCTCCTCCTCCTCCTCAGCATCGTCATGATCAACAACAACATCAACAACATCGTCATCATGAGCAGCATGGTGTTTATCATCATAATAATCATCATAATCATCGCCAGCATCAGCATCAACATCATCATAACCATCATCATGCTCATCAGCATCAGCATCATCATCATTATCATCATCAGAATCGTCATAATCGTCATCTTCTGCAGTATCCTCATAATCAGCATGACCAGCATCATCGTGAGCATTATCAGCATCATCCTCGTTTTCAGCATCTTCAGTATCATTCGCATCGTCAGAATTTTCGGTATCGTCATCATAATCGTCAACATCATCATCCTCATCAGCATTATCATCAGCATCATCATGGTCATCACCATACTCATCATCATCATCATCATCATCATCAGCAGCAGCAGCAGCATCATCCTCGATATCATTATCGTCATCAGCATCAGCATGCTCGTCATCGTCATCATCGTCGTCCTCCTTCTCATGATCACAATCATCATCATCACCATCACCATCATCATCATCATCATCATCATCATCATCATCATCGCCATCCTCACACACCCGCACTCTTACCCTCATCACCAGAAACATGGCAGTGGTCATGATCATGATCATGAGCATGCTCGTCACAACCAGCATCATCGATATAGCTATCATCGCTGTCATAAACATCATCATAATCGTCCTCGCCATCGAAACAGTCATCTTCGATGCCACCATGTTCATGCACATCATCATAAGCAGCAGCATCATCCTCGTGATCGTCATCATCATCAGCAGCATGCTCGTCATCGGCATCGACACCAGAATCACCATCATCATCATCATCATCATCATCATCATCATCATCATCATTGTCGTCATCAGCATCATCATAAACATCATGAACCCCGTCAACATAATCACCATCACCATCACCATAATCTATCACCATCATCATCGTCACCATCATCGTCCTCGTCATCATCATCACCATCAACATCATCACCATCATCCGTATCATTCCCCAGTACCATCATCATGGTCAATCGTCATCGCCATCACCATTGCTTCATACTGTTATTCCTCCTCATCCTCATCATCATGGTGTTGGTGATGACATCACCGTCCCCCTCCTTCTCATCCTCATCATCATGATCAGCGACAGCAGCATCATCCCTCTGCCTCGGTCATCAGTCCTCCTTTCCCTCTGCCTTCTCCCCCTCCCTCTCAACGACTCCTCCTCCTCCTCCTCCTCCTCCTCCCGATGTGCGACTCTGGCAGGTTTCTTGACCCTGGGCCTTACGGCTCTTGCACCCCGCCTCGTCGACCTCATGCTCCTCGGCCCATGTGTCGTGCCTCCACATTGTCGTCTGCATCGGCCTGGCGGGGCATCTGGAGGGCTGGCGGAAGTAGCACCCGGGCCGCGACGGGTACCCGTTGATGATCTGGAGCTCGTCCACCTCCGATGGCGCGGGCGGGCGGCCGGCGGACTGCAGGGCATGGCGGACGAAGGCAAGGCAGGAGCGAATTCGACTTGAGGGTACAGAGCTTTCGCTCAGCGTGTCGCGGCGGTGGCCCTGGCGACACGGTCTTGTATGCCTTGCAAGCGGAGATGGCGTGCCGCTCCGCTCCGCGGGGCGGGAGGCCGGGAAAGGCTCGGAACGTTGGCGCTCGGAGGCCGGGGCGTGCTGGCGCGTCGCGCCGAAGCGTGGTGGGCCAGAACCGGCGGCGCGACACGCTGAGCAAGCGTGCCTGACCGTAGGTCTGCGTCGAATTTGGCCACAACCGTTGGATTCGGGGGTATTGCGGGAGCCGGCACAAAATGCCTCCCTGCGGGGGCGGATGCAACACCCCACGGCGAGAGGCAAGACAATACCTCCGTGCTCCCGTGATCACCCGAATATCAGCCCCGTCGCCGCAGCCCCAGCACAAGGTTCACATTCCTCGCGCGAGGCAGCCGAAGGCGGGCGCCATGAGAACAAGCGGCAGTGGCGGCGACCGCCCGTGCCCAACGGCACGTGGTGGCGACCGCCCGCGACCGCAACTGGATGGCAGGACAAAGGCGGCGCCGCACTCGGTGCCCGCGGTGCAGCACTCGGCCGACCCCGCTCGGTGCCCTGTGGTTGCTGTCCTGCGGTCGGTTCCCTGGCTCGGTGCCCCATGGCTGGTGCCCCGTGGCTCCTGCGATACTGCAAACGGCCGCCCCCGCTCGGTGCCCCATGCTTGGTGCCCTACGGATTCCCTGGCTCCGTCCACCACTCTGTTTTGATCTGCATCGAACCACAGAGCTTGCACATCGGGAATGTCGGAACCTGCTGCTCGGGGACCACTACCAAGTGGACCCCAAACGGTGCGTCATTGCCACACGCAGGCGGAAGCAATGCAGTGAAAGCTATGTGGCGCGAGTTATCATGTGACCCATGCGGTGAACCCAGTGTGGTGTAAGCCATGCATTGTGCGAGCTATGTTGTGTGGTGTGAGATGAGATGCGTAAACTGTGCGGTAAGGCTTGTGTGGTGTGCGCCATGAGGTGAAAACAATGAAGTGTCATATATGGTGTGTAAGCTACGTCGTGCAAGCTGCGCGGCGCAAGCTACGTGGTGCAAGAAATGATTCAGCTATGCGACATGAACTATGTTGTGTAAAAGCTTCGCAGTGTGACATGTGTGGTACGCAGTGTGACAGATGCGGTGCGCGCTATGTTTCGGAAACTATGCGGTGTAGTCTGTGTGCCGTGGGCAATGTTGTGTAAGCTATGCGTAAGCTGTGCGAGGTGAGATATGCTGGGCAACCGATGTTACCCACCCAGGGCACGGGCCCCCCACGAGGCGCCCACGAGGCGCCCACGGGGCGGGCAGCATGCGAAACCTCGGCATACCACCCCGGGGCGGGGAGCCCACGCGGAGCCCACGGGCGGGCACCATGCGAAACCTCGGCACACGCGGGGCGCCCACGAGGCGCCCACTGGCGGGCACCTGGCGAAACCTCGGCATACCCCCCCAAGCGCAGGGCGCTTCCGAGGCGTCCACGGGCAGGCACCACCAGGCGAAACCTCGGCATACTCCCCCAACACGGGGCGCCCACGAGGCTCCCACGGGCGGGCACCAGGCGCAACCCCGATACACGCCCCAAGCGCGGGGCGCCCACGAGGCGCCCACGGGCGCCCACCGATTGGGTATTGGCCCAAACCCCACCATACCAATTCAATTTCTGCATCTGCCACCCTGCCTGCGGCATGTTGAGGCGTGGAAGAATGCCATGGGCTGCCTGGCAGGGTTGCTGTAGACTTCCAAGGGACCCCCGCCCGCCCCGGTGGCACCCAGCCGACTGCACCACCCCTACTCCCAAGGGGTTCGTGGGCGGCCATGCCGCCTCCCTTGGACTCTCCAAGGCTTCCATGACGGCCCAGGAGGCCCCCAAGACGTTCCAAGAAGACCCCGAGACGCCGAACGAAGACGACAAAGATGGCCTCCATCGGGCCCAAGAGGCCTCCAAGACGCCTCAAGTGGCGTACAAGAAATCTCCCAAGGGGGCCCAAAGAGGCACCAGCCCTTGATTCCCTATCGGCGTGGAGCGATTTTAGCGTCTTCACCTTTTCGGATATCCGATGCTCCTAGACGGCCCAAGAAGCCCCCAAGAACACCCCAAAAACGGCTCAAGGGGCCTCCAAGAGGGCCCCAAGATGGCCTAAGAGCTTTCCAAGACGGCCCAAGAGGCGCCCAAGACTGCCCAAGAGGGTCCCAAGACGGCCCAAAGAAGAACCCACGAGAAGGAGCACGAACGGACAATTCGAGCCTTCCGCACCAAGAGGCCCCCAGGAGGCCCCAAGATGCGCCCAATAGGCCCTCAGAGGCCCCCAAGCGGCCCCCAGGGTGCCCCTCAGAGGCCCCCAAGAGACCCCAGAAAAAAAGGCCCCCAAAGGCCCCAAAGCGGCCCTCAAGAGGCCTCAGAACTGCCGCGAAGAGGCCCCCGAGAGGGCGCCCACGAGATCCTTACGAGCATCCAGTAAGCTTCATACCCGCAGCCCAAGCACGATGGCGGGACTTGCCGTAGGCATCTTGATAAACATGTAAGTACGTTGCTGCGCGGTGGGTGTGTAAGTCAATATGTGGTGCAAACTATGTGATGCACCCACCCGCAACTTGGTTTGCAGAAGCCCACGCGTGAGCGATTGCGATGAGTGCTGGGTGTGGACTGGTGCATGTCTGCGGCCGCGCTAGCCCGCGCATGCTCGCGCGCGCAGCGGCCAGCTAGTTTGGCGCGGCCGACGCGAACGCGGTGGCGCTGACCGCTCGGCACATCCCAGCGGGCACTTGGTGCGAGTCGGCACTTGGGCGATCATGGCAACGTCGACAACGGGAGACACGATGATGATAGTAGCGCTGCTGGTGAAGATGCTGACAGCGATCACGGGGCAGCCAGTGACGGCGCCGATGCTGATCACGCCGGCGATGATGACGGCGTCTTCGCGTCGGTGATTCAGGTCTTGGAAGGAATTCGAAATGCGCGAGCGGCAGACGCGCGAGAGTGGCTGACATGCATGGTATTATTTGGCACGGATCGTGCCACCCCAGCACGCGCGCAAGGGTGTTCGAACGCTTTCGACACGCGCGCGAGAAGCCCGTTCGGTAGCACGTTTTATGAATATGTTGAAAACTTAACTTATGATTTTCTTAAGAATTCGCAAGAACGCGCGCGCACGTTTTTGTTGAAAGTCCGTGTTGCGAAACCATGTTTTTATATTGTTTGGACACTCGATGTTTAAATCCTTCTGCAGCGGAAATATGTTCCAGGATTTCGGCAAGCGCGCGACATCGCGCGCGTGTGCGCGCAGACTATTTCTTTGCAAGGGAACCAAAGGGGAACGGTACCAGCCTGGCTGGGATAGTAGGAATTCACAGGTAGGATGGACATTGGGTCATAATCATATGTGTTTTGCATCGGTTCCCGGGGTATGGATAGGTCCAGGGGGGGAAGGGTGGTAGAACTTATCTTATTAAAACAAAAAAGAGAGAGAATCTACGAGGCGCAAGCTGAGAGATGTAATGGATGTGGCGTAGGGGATGTGGTGCAGGCTCGGAAATGCAAACTGTATGATGCAAGCGGGGTGTTGCAAGGTCCGTGGTGACAGGTATCTGATGCAACACTCCGTTGGGCGGCCACGGGGCGGTCACGGGAGGCCACAGGGCGGCCGCGGGTGGCCACTGGGCGGCCACGGGCGGCCACGGGGCGGCAACGGGTGGCCACGGGGCGGCAAAAGCATCCGGTCACTCACCCAATTCCTTAGTAAGGCACGCAAGGACCCATGTTCCAATTCCTTAGTAAGGCACGCAAGGACCCCTGAAAGAAAGCTTTTGGTGGGAATACGTTCCAATGTGACCTAACGTTCCAATGCGTCCTACGGTTACTAGAACAAGCATGGAAGAAAACACGTGATCCCTCAGTGATCCTCAGTGATCCTCGTGATCCCGCAGTGATCCTCGTCGACTGGCTTTCGGGTCGCACATCGGGTCTCTGGTGGCCGTTCGGAACTATCTGGACACACCCGGAACGCTTTCGGCAAAACGCAGCCGCTGGAACGCACCCCAGGCTGGAAAGCCGCCAAGGACCCACGGAAACGCCAGAAAGAGTCAAACCTGGATTCCGAGACAATCGTCCGCTCCTGCCCCACTCCCCTGAGGTTGCCCGTCCCCTCAGCGGCCACTAGCCATCTCGCCCTTCGGCTCCGAGGCGCTCTCGGCGAGGCGCAGCCGCTGGCACGCGCCCCGAGGCTGGAAAACCGCCGAGGACCAACGAACACGCCCGAAAACGTCGAACCTCGCTTCCGAGAAAGCCGTCGCCTGCTGCTCCTACCCCCGCTGCCCCCCCGCCGAGACTCGGGCTCGTTACAAGCAGAGCACTCACACACACACACACACACACACACACACACACACACACACACACACACACACACACTTTTCCACCAGAAACGGTACCTCACATCCAGCAGCAAAGGCTTCGAAATCGCTGCTGCTCCGCGAGACCGACCATTTCAGAACCAGGACGACGATTCTACAGCACAGGAAGACTACGGTCAGGAACTTTTGCATGGCGAGTCGCCGCGGCGGCCCCGGCGACACGCTATGCCGTGCGAGCGGATGCCGCGTCGCTCCGAATCGCAGGGGAGCGGATAGCGTGCCGCGCCGAAGCGTGGTGGGCCAGAACCCGCGGGCCGCACTCTACGACCGGCAGGGGCCCCGCTATGGCCAGAGCGACCACTTTACAACCCGAGGGCCTGTTCGGAGGCCGCCTCCACGCGCGGCGCGTCCGATGCGGGCGGCTCCGCGCCCCCCGCCGCGGCACCCGCGCCGCCGGCCTGCCGAGGGCGGCGACGGCGGCGACGGCGGCGACGACGACCTCGAGCAGGGACCGACCGCCCCGACATTCCTGCCACGAGGTGCTCCCTGGAACAACAGAGCCGACCGTCCGACCACCGACCGTGACCGAAGTGCTCTCAGCGCCGAAACATGTTCGAGGAGCAGAAGCCGACGCATCAAAGCAGGACGGCCTCAGCCAAAAATGTTCGAACACACACGTGGTGCAGAGGCGACGGCGGCGGCGGCGGGCGGCGGGCGGCAGAAGGGCGGAGAGCACGAGCACGTCGCTCCCCAGGCGGTGGACACGTGTGACGCAGAGAGGGGGAGAAGCGGTAGGAGAAAGGGCGGCGGTAGGAGTATTACAGACTTTGTCTGCGTGCGTGTGTACCTGATGCTGGCCGGTGTACGCTTGAGCACCGGCAGGAAGAGGCAGGGGCCGAAGGAGATAGACCCAAACATCCGAGGGTGCGTGCGGCTTTTTCCCTACCAGCGACCCCAGAGCTCCCGACCACTCTCCCCCCTTCCCCAGGGACAACTTCCCATCGCGGATCCAGGCTAGATGGCCCCAGGGCCCGAAAAGAGTCTCCCAGGGCCTCAAACGATGAGAACACACAGGGATTGGAACACTAACATTCGAACATGCGGAGGTGCAGTCATCCTGCTATTTAAAGGAGCGCTGGACCAGGAACGCCGGGGCTTGTCTGGCCACGGCGAGCCTCGGAAACGAAGAGGCTCCCCGACCCAGGCCCGAGGAAGGGCCCGAAAACCAGGGCACCTCCTAAGCCCAACGCGGCCCATATTTCAGCGCCGCGACTGTATGAGAAGGATCGGGCCTCCGATGGGGTCCCATTGGCGGCGGCGTTGTCGGAGCGGGTGCCGGACCCCTCTGGGCCGGGCTCGTCGTCGAGCTCACCCTTGATGTGCACCACCTTCGTGTCTTCGGCATCGCAGTATCTGTCCCAGTAGCCCTTGGCGGGGGGCCGAAACATAAAAACAGTGCAAGGGCCACGCCCTCCCCATTCCCCTCCACCTCTCCTCCTCCTCCTCCTCCTCCTCCTCCTCCTCCTCCTCCTCCTCCTCCTCCTCCTCCTCCTCCTCCTCCTCCCCCTCATCCCCCCATCCTCCCTCTACCCATCATCCTCCTCGTCCTCCTCCTCATCCTCCTCCTCCTCTTCCTCCTCCTCCTCAGCCTCGTCATCATCAACAACAACATCAACAACATCGTCATCATGAGCAGCATGGTGTTTATCATCATAATAATCATCATAGTCATCGCCAGCATCAGCATCATCATCATCATAACCATCATCATGCTCATCATCATCAGCATCATCATCATTATCATCATCATAATCGTCATAATCGTCATCATCTGCAGTATCCTCATAATCAGCATGACCAGCATCATCGTGAGCATCATCAGCATCATCCTCGTTTTCAGCATCTTCAGTATCATTCGCATCGTCAGAATCATCGGTATCGTCATCATAATCGTCAACATCATCATCCTCATCATCATTATCATCAGCATCATCATGGTCATCACCATACTCATCATCATCATCATCAGCAGCAGCAGCATCATCCTCGATATCATTATCGTCATCAGCATCAGCATGCTCGTCATCGTCATCATCGTCGTCCTCCTCCTCATGATCACAATCATCATCATCATAATCAGCATCATCATCATCATCATCATCATCATCTTCATCATCATCATCGCCATCCTCACACACCCGCACTCTTACCCTCATCACCAGAAACATGGCAGTGAACATGATCATGATCATGAGCATGCTCGTCAGAACCAGCATCATCGATATCGCCATCATCGCTGTCATAAACATCATCATAATCGTCCTCGCCATCGAAACAGTCATCTTCGATGCCACCATGTTCATGCCCATCATCATAAGCAGCAGCATCATCCTCGTGATCGTCATCATCATCAGCAGCATGCTCGTCATCGACATCGACACCAGAATCACCATCATCATCATCATCATCATCACCATCATCATCAGCATAATCATCATCATCATCATCATCATCATCATCATCATCATCATCATTATCGTCATCAGCATCATCATAAACATCATGAACCCCATCAACATAATCACCATCGCCATCACCATAATCTATCACCATCATCATCGTCACCATCATCGTCCTCGTCATCATCATCACCATCAACAGCATCACCATCATCCGTATCATTCCCCAGTACCATCATCATGGTCAATCGTCATCGCCATCACCATTGCTTCATACTGTTATTCCTCCTCATCCTCATCATCATGGTGTTGGTGATGACATCACCGTCCCCCTCCTTCTCATCCTCATCATCATGATCAGCGACAGCAGCATCATCCCTCTGCCTCGGTCATCAGTCCTCCTTTCCCTCTGCCTTCTCCCCCTCCCTCTCAACGACTCCTCCTCCTCCTCCTCCTCCCGATGTGCGACTCTGGCACGTTTCTTGACCCTGGGCCTTACGGCTCTTGCACCCCGCCTCGTCGACCTCATGCTCCTCGGCCCACGTGTCGTGCCTCCACATTGTCGTCTGCATCGGCCTGGCGGGGCATCTGGAGGGCTGGCGGAAGTAGCACCCGGGCCGCGACGGGTACCCGTTGATGATCTGGAGCTCGTCCACCTCCGATGGCGCGGGCGGGCGGCCGGCGGACTGCAGGGCATGGCGGACGAAGGCAAGGCAGGAGCGAATTCGACTTGAGGGTACAGAGCTTTCGCTCAGCGTGTCGCGGCGGTGGCCCTGGCGACACGGTCTTGTATGCCTTGCAAGCGGAGATGGCGTGCCGCTCCGCTCCGCGGGGCGGGAGGCCGGGAAAGGCTCGGAACGTTGGCGCTCGGAGGCCGGGGCGTGCTGGCGCGTCGCGCCGAAGCGTGGTGGGCCAGAACCGGCGGCGCGACACGCTGAGCAAGCGTGCCTGACCGTAGGTCTGCGTCGAATTTGGCCACAACCGTTGGATTCGGGGGTACTGCGGGAGCCGGCACAAAATGCCCCCCTGCGGGGGCGGATGCAACACCCAACGGCGAGAGGCAAGACAATACCTCCGTGCTCCCGTGATCACCCGAATATCAGCCCCGTCGCCGCAGCCCCAGCACCCGGTTCACATTCCTCGCGCGAGGCAGCCGAAGGCGGGCGCCATGAGAACAAGCGGCAGTGGCGGCGACCGCGCGTGCCCAACGGCACGTGGTGGCGACCGCCCGCGACCGCAACTGGAAGGCAGGACAAAGGCGGCGCCGCACTCGGTGCCCGCGGTGCAGCACTCGGCCGTCCCCGCTCGGTGCCCTGTGGTTGCTGCCCTGCGGTCGGTTCCCTGGCTCGGTGCCCCATGGCTGGTGCCCCGTGGCTCCTGCGATACTGCAAACGGCCGCCCCCGCTCGGTGCCCCATGCTTGGTGCCCTACGGATTCCCTGGCTCCGTCCACCACTCTGTTTTGATCTACATCAAACCACAGAGCTTGCACATCGGGAATGTCGGAACCTGCTGCTCGGGGACCACTGCCAAGTGGACCCCAAACGGTGCGTCATTGCCACACGCAGGCGGAAGCAATGCAGTGAACGCTATGTGGCGCGAGTTATCATGTGACCCATGCGGTGAACCCAGTGTGGTGTAAGCCATGCATTGTGCGAGCTATGTTGTGTGGTGTGAGATAAGATGCGTAAACTGTGCGGTAAGGCTTGTGTGGTGTGCGCCATGAGGTGAAAACAATGAAGTGTCATATATGGTGTGTAAGCTACGTCGTGCAAACTGCGCGGCGCAAGCTACGTGGTGCAAGATATGATTCAGCTATGCGACATGAACTATGTTGTGTAAAAGCTTCGCAGTGTGACATGTGTGGTACGCAGTGTGACAGATGCGGTGCGCGCTATGTTTCGGAAACTATGCGGTGTAGTCTGTGTGCCGTGGGCAATGTTGTGTAAGCTATGCGTAAGCTGTGCGAGGTGAGATATGCTGGGCAACCGATGTTACCCACCCAGGGCACGGGCCCCCCACGAGGCGCCCACGAGGCGCCCACGGGGCGGGCAGCATGCGAAACCTCGGCATACCACCCCAGGGCGGGGAGCCCACGCGGAGCCCACGGGCGGGCACCATGCGAAACCTCGGCACACGCGGGGCGCCCACGAGGCGCCCACGGGCAGGCACCGGGCGAAACCTCGGCATACCCCCCCAAGCGCAGGGGGCTTCCGAGGCGTCCACGGGTAGGCACCACCAGGCGAAACCCCGGCAGACTCCCCCAACACGGGGCGCCCACGAGGCTCCCACGGGCGGGCGCCAGGCGCAACCCCGATACACGCCCCCAGCGCGGGGCGCCCACGAGGCGCCCACGGGCGCCCACCGATTGGGTATTGGCCCAAACCCCACCATACCAATTCAATTTCTGCATCTGCCACCCTGCCTGCGGCACGTTGAGGCGTGGAGGAATGCCATGGGCTGCCTGGCAGGGTTGCTGTAGACTTCCAAGGGACCCCCGCCCGCCCCGGTGGCACCCAGCCGACTGCACCACCCCTAATCCCAAGGGGTTCGTGGGCGGCCATGCCGCCTCCCTTGGGCTCTCCAAGGCTTCCATGACGGCCCAGGAGGCCCCCAAGACGTTCCAAGAAGACCCCGAGACGCCGAACGAAGACGACAAAGATGGCCTCCATCGGGCCCAAGAGGCCTCCAAGACGCCTCAAGTGGCGTACAAGAAACCTCCCAAGGGGGCCCAAAGAGGCACCAGCCCTTGATTCCCTATCGGCGTGGAGCGATTTTAGCGTCTTCACCTTTTCGGATATCCGATGCTCCAAGACGGCCCAAGAAGCCCCCAAGAACACCCCAAAAACGGCTCAAGGGGCCTCCAAGAGGGCCCCAAGATGGCCTAAGAGCTTTCCAAGACGGCCCAAGCGGCGCCCAAGACTGCCCAAGAGGGCCCCAAGACGGCCCAAAGAAGAACCCACGAGAAGGAGCACGAACGGACAATTCGAGCCTTCCGCACCAAGAGGCCCCCAGGAGGCCCCAAGATGCGCCCAATAGGCCCTCAGAGGCCCCCAAGCGGCCCCCAGGGTGCCCCAAGAGGCCCCTAAGAGACCCCAGAAAAAGGCCCCCAAAGGCCCCAAAGCGGCCCTCAAGAGGCCTCAGAACTGCCGCGAAGAGGCCCCCGAGAGGGCGCCCACGAGATCCTTACGAGCATCCAGTAAGCTTCATACCCGCAGCCCAAGCACGGTGGCGGGACTTGCCGTAGGCATCTTGATAAACATGTAGGTACGTTGCTGCGCGGTGGGTGTGTAAGTCAATATGTGGTGCAAACTATGTGATGCACCCACCCGCAACTTGGTTTGCAGTAGCCCACGCGTGAGCGATTGCGATGAGTGCTGGGTGTGGACTGGTGCATGTCTGCGGCCGCGCTAGCCCGCGCATGCTCGCGCGCGCAGCGGCCAGCTAGTTTGGCGCGGCCGACGCGAACGCGGTGGCGCTGACCGCTCGGCACATCCCAGCGGGCACTTGGTGCGAGTCGGCACTTGGGCGATCATGGCAACGTCGACAACGGGAGACACGATGATGATAGTAGCGCTGCTGGTGAAGATGCTGACAGCGATCACGGGGCAGCCAGTGACGGCGCCGATGCTGATCACGCCGGCGATGATGACGGCGTCTTCGCGTCGGTGATTCAGGTCTTGGAAGGAATTCGAATTGCGCGAGCGGCAGACGCGCGAGAGTGGCTGACATGCATGGTATTATTTGGCACGGATCGTGCCACCCCAGCACGCGCGCAAGGGTGTTCGAACGCTTTCGACACGCGCGCGAGAAGCCCGTTCGGTAGCACGTTTTATGAACATGTTGAAAACTTATGATTGACTTAAGAGTTCGCAAGAACGCGCGCGCACGTGTTTGTTGAAAGTCCGTGTTGCGAAACCATGTTTTTTATATTGTTTGGACACTCGATGATTAAATCCTTCTGAAGCGGAAATATGTTCCACGATTTCGGCAAGCGCGCGACATCGCGCGCGTGTGCGCGCAGACTATTTCTTTGCAAGAGAACCAATGGGGAACGGTACCAGCCTGGCTGGGATAGTAGGAATTCACAGGTAGGATGGACATTGGGTCATAATCATATGTGTTTTGCATCGGTTCCTGGGGTATGGATAAGTCCAGGGGGGGAAGGATGGTAGAACCTATCTTATTAAAACAAAAAAGAGAATCTACGAGGTGCAAGCTGAGAGATGTAAGGGATGTGGCGTAGGGGATGTGGTGCAGGCTCGGCAATGCAGACGGTATGATGCAAGCGGGGTGTCGCAGGGTCCGTGGTGCAGCCTACGTGCTGCACGCTACGTGGTGTAAGCTATGGGCGGTCACGGGGCGGTCACGGGGCGGTCACGAGCGGCCACGGGGCGGTCACGGGGCGGTCACGAGCGGTCCTGATGCAAACTCCGTCGGGCGGCCACGGGGCGGTCCTGATGCAAACTCCGTCGGGCGGCCACGGGGCGGTCACGGGCGGCCACAGGGCGGCCGCGGGTGGCCACGGGGCGGCCACGGGCGGCCACGGGGCGGCAACGGGTGGCCACGGGGCGGCAAAAGCATCCGGTCACTCACCCAATTCCTTAGTAAGGCACGCAAGGACCCATGTTCCAATTCCTTAGTAAGGCACGCAAGGACCTGCGTGCAAGCTTTGGGTGGGAATACGTTCCAATGCGACCTAACGTTCCAATGCGTCCCACGGTTACTAGAACAAGCATAGAAGAAAGCACGTGATCCCTCAGTGATCCTGAGTGATCCTCGTGATCCCGCAATGATCCTCGTCGACTCGCTCTCGGGTCGTACATCGGGTCTCTGGTGGCCGTTCGGGGCTATCTGGACACACCCGGAACGCTTTCGGCAAAACGCAGCCGCTGGAACGCACCCCAGGCTGGAAAGCCGCCAAGGACCCACGGAAACGCCAGAAAAGTCAAACCTGGATTCCGAGACAATCGTCCGCTCCTGCCCCACTCCCCTGCGGTTGCCCGTCCCCCCTCAGCGGCCACTAGCCGTCTCGCCCTTCGGCTCCGAGGCGCTCTCGGCGAGGCGCAGCCGCTGGAACGCGCCCCGAGGCTGAAAAACCGCCGAGGACCAACGATCACGCCCGAAAACGTCGAACCTCGCTTCCGAGAAAGCCGTCGCCTGCTGCTCCTACCCCCGCTGCCCCCCCGCCGAGACTCGGGCTCGTTACAAGCAGAGCACTCACACACACAAACACTTTTCCACCAGAAACGGTACTTCACACCCAGCAGCAAAGGCTTCGAAATCGCTGCTGCTCCGCGAGACCGACCATTTCAGAACCAGGACGACGATTCTACAGCACAGGAAGACTACGGTCAGGAACTTTTGCATGGCGAGTCGCCGCGGCGGCCCCGGCGACACGCCATGCCGTGCGAGCGGATGCCGCGTCGCTCCGAATCGCAGGGGAGCGGATAGCGTGCCGCGCCGAAGCGTGGTGGGCCAGAACCCGCGGGCCGCACTCTACGACCCGCAGGGGCCCCGCTATGGCCAGAGCGACCACTTTACAACCCGAGGGCCTGCTCGGAGGCCGCCTCCACGCGCGGCGCGTCCGATGCGGGCGGCTCCGCGCCCCCCGCCGCGGCACCCGCGCCGCCGGCCTGCCGAGGGCGGCGACGGCGGCGACGGCGGCGACGACGACCTCGAGCAGGGACCGACCGCCCCGACATTCCTGCCACGAGGTGCTCCCTGGAACAACAGAGCCGACCGTCCGACCACCGACCGTGACCGAAGTGTTCTCAGCGCCGAAACATGTTCGAGGAGCAGCAGCCGACGCATCAAAGCAGGACGGCCTCAGCCAAAAATGTTCGAAACACACGTGGTGCAGAGGCGACGGCGGCGGCGGCGGGCGGCGGGCGGCAGAAGGGCGGAGAGCACGAGCACGTCGCTCCCCAGGCGGTGGATACGTGTGACGCAAAGAGGAGGAGAAGCGGTAGGAGAAAGGGCGGCGGTAGGAGTATTACAGACTTTGTCTGCGTGCGTGTGTACCTGATGCTGGCCGGTGTACGCTTGAGCACCGGCAGGAAGAGGCAGGGGCCGAAGGAGATAGACCCAAACATCCGACGGTGTGTGCGGCTGTTTCCCCACCAGCGACCCCCGAGCTCCCGACCACTCTCCCCCCTTCCCCAGGGACAACTTCCCATCACGGATCCAGGCTAGATGACCCCAGGGCCCGAAAAGAGTGTCCCAGGGCCTCACCCGATGAGAACATACAGGGATTGGAAAACAAACATTCGAACATGCGGGGGTGCAGTCATCCTGCTATCAAACGGAGCGCTGGGCAAGGAACGCCGGGGCTTGTCTGGCCACGGCGAGCCTCGGCCACGAAGAGGCTCCCCGACCCAGGCCCGAGGAAGGGCCCGAAAACCAGGGCACCTCCTAAGCCCAACGCGGCCCTGATTTCAGCGCCGTGACTGTATGAGAAGGATCGGGCCTCCGATGGGGTCCCATTGGCGACGTCGTTGTCGGAGCGGGTGCCGGACCCCTCTGGGCCGGGCTCGTCGTCGAGCAAACCCTTGATGTGCACCACCTTCGTGTCTTCGGCATCGCAGTATCTGTCCCAGTAGCCCTTGGCGGGGGGCCGAAACATGAAGCAGTGCAAGGGCCACGCCCTCCCCATTCCCCTCCACCTCTCCTCCTCCTCCTCCTCCTCCTCCTCCTCCTCCTCCTCCTCCTCCGCCTCCTCCTGCTCCTCCTCCTCCTCCCCCTCATCCCCCCATCCTCCCTCTACCCATCATCCTGCTCGTCCTCCTCCTCATCCTCCTCCTCCTCTTTCTCCTCCTCCTCAGCATCGTCATCATCATCAACAACAGCATCAACAACATCGTCATCATGAGCAGCATGGTGTTCATCATGATAATAATCATCATAATCATCGCCAGCATCAGCATCAACATCATCATAACCATCATCATGCTCATCATCATCAGCAGCAGCATCGTCATCATCATAATCGTCATAATCGTCATCATCTGCAGTATCCTCATAATCAGCATGATCAGCATCATCGTAAGCATCATCAGCATCATCAGCATCCTCGTTTTCAGCATCTTCAGTATCATTCGTATCGTCAGAATCATCGATATCGTCATCATCATCGTCAACATCCTCATCCTCATCATCATTATCATCAGCATCATCATCATGGTCATCGCCATACTCATCATCATCATCATCATCATCATCATCATCATCATCAGCAGCAGCAGCAGCAGCATCCTCGATATCATTATCGGCATCAGCATCAGCATGCTCGCCATCGTCATCCTCCTCCTCATTATCACAATCATAATCATCATCATCATCATCATCATCATCATCATCATCATCATCATCATCATCATCATCATCATCGCCATCCTCACACACCCGCAGTCTTATCCTCATCACCAGAAACATGGCCGTGGTCATGATCTGGGATGAGCATGCTCGTCATAACCAGCATCATCAACATCGCCATCATCGCTGTCATAAACATCATCAGAATCGTCCTCGCCATCGAAACAGTCATCTTCGATGCCACCATGTTCATGCTCATCATCATCAGCAGCAGCATCATCCTCGTCATCGTCATCATCATCAGCAGCATGCTCGTCATCGATATCGTCACCAGAATCACCATCATCATCATCATCATCATCATCATAATCATCATCATCATTATCATCATCATCATCATCATAAACATCATCAACCTTATCAACATAATCACCATCGCCATCACCATAATCTATCACCATCAGCATCGTCACCATCATCGTCCTCGTCATCATCATCACCATCAACATCATCACCATCATCCGTATCATTCCCAGTACCATCATCATGGTCATCGTCATCGCCATCACCATTGCTTCATACTGTTGTTCCTCCTCATCCTCCTCATCCTCATCACCATGGTGTCGGTGATGACATCACCGTCCCCCTCCTTCTCATCCTCATCATCATCATCAGCGACAGCAGCATCATCCCTCTGCCTCGGTCATCAGTCCTCTTTTCCCTCTGCCTTCTCCCCCTCCCTCTCAACCACTCCTCCTCCTCCCGATGTGCGACTCTTGCAGGTTTCTTGACCCTGGGCCTTACGGCTCTTGCACCCCGCCTCGTCGACCTCATGTTCCTCGGCCCACGTGTCGTGCCTCCACATTGTCGTCTGCATCGGCCTGGCGGGGCATCTGGAGGGCTGGCGGAAGTAGCACCCGGGCCGCGACGGGTACCCGTCGATGATCTGGAGCTCGTCCACCTCCGATGGCGCGGGCGGGCGGCCGGCGGACTGCAGGGCATGGGAGGCGAAGGCAAGGCAGGAGCGAATTCGACTTGAGGGTACAGAGCTTTCGCTCAGCGTGTCGCGGCGGTGGCCCTGGCGACACGGTCTTGTATGCTCTGCAAGCGGAGATGGCGTGCCGCTCCGCTCCGCGAGGCGGGAGGCCGGGAAAGGCTCGGAACGTTGGCGCTCGGAGGCCGGGGCGTGCTGGCGCGTCGCGCCGAAGCGTGGTGGGCCAGAGACGGCGGCGCGACACGCTGAGCAAGCGTGCCTGACCGTAGGTCTGCGTCGAATTTGGCCACAACCGTTGGATTCGGGGGTACTGCGGGAGCCGGCACAATGCCTCCCTGCGGGGGCGGATGCAACACCGCACGGCGAGAGGCAAGACAGTACCTCCGTGCTCCCGTGATCACCCGAATCTCAGCCCCGTCGCCGCAGCCCCAGCACCCGGTGCACATTCCTCGCGCGAGGCAGCCGAAAGCGGGCGCCATGAGAACAAGCGGCAGTGGCGGCGACCGCCCGTGCCCAACGGCACGTGGTGGCGACCGCCCGCGACCGCAAACGGAAGGCAGGACAAAGGCGGCGCCGCACTCGGTGCCCGCGGTGCAGCACTCGGCCGTCCCCGCTCGGTGCCCCGTGGTTGCTGCCCTGCGGTCGGTTCCCTGGCTCGGTGCCCCATGGCTGGTGCCCCGTGGCTCCTGCGATACTGCAAACGGCCGCCCCCGCGCGGTGCCCCATGCTTGGTGCCCTACGGATTCCCTGGCTCCGTCCACCACTCTGTTTTGATCTGCATCGAACGACACAGAACTTGCACATCGGGAATGTCGGAACCTGCTGCTCGGGGACCACTGCCAAGTGGACCCCAAACGGTGCGTCATGGCCACACGCAGGCGGAAGCAATGCAGTGAAAGCTATGTGGCGCGAGTTATCATGTGACCCATGCGGTGTAACCAGTGTGGTGTAAGCCATGTATTGTGCGAGCTATGTTGTGTGGTGTGAGCTAAGATGCGTAAGCTGTGCGGTAAGGTTTGTGTGGTGTGCGCCATGCGGTGAAAGCTATGAGGTGTAATTAATCACTTGCTCAACTTGAAGCTGTCCTCTCCACTGCTCGCGCAAACATCCCACCTTCCCACCCGCAACTTGGTTTGCAAAACCTCTTAAGACCGACTACGATGACGCCGACGCCGACGACGACGAAGATGACGACGACGCCAACGAAGGCGACGACGAGGGAGGAAGGACGACGACGGCGACAACGACGACAACGACGACAACGACGAGGGAGGAGGGAGGACGGCGACGACGCGAACGACGACGGAGGAAGGACGGCGACGCCGACGACGACAACGACGAGGGAGGAGGGAAGACGACGACGACAACGACGACGACGACGGTGACGAAATAGAACCGACGACGAGACGCCGACGACGGACGACGACGACGACGTGGGAGGAGGAGGACGGACGATCACGGCGACAACGACGACGGAAACGACCACGACGCCAAGACGACGACGACGACCAACACGAGAAAAGATAGAGGACGACGTAGGCGACGACGACGACGACGACGACGACGCGGGAGGAGGGAGGACGGCGACGACGACGACGACGACGCAAGAGCGCGCGCGCGCACGCTTTTGTTGAACATCCGTGTTGCGAAACCTTAGGTTTTTGTAAGTCTTTTGGACGCACGATTTTGAAATCCTTCCGAAACCGACGGGTTTTGAAGGTTTTCGGCATACGCCCGCGACGACGCGCGCGTCTGCACTTCGTCCCATGTTTGGCAGAGGATTCTCGCGACGGCACACGCGCAAGGGCGTTCGACAGATTTCGACATGCGCGCGCGAAGCCCGTTTGATAGCAGTGTGTGGAAATCTTGAAAAAAACCTAAGGTTTTCTTAAGATTTCGCGAAAGCTCGCGCGGAAGTGTTTTTAGCAAACCAGTGTTACGAAACCATATGTGTTTGTATGTTTTTTTTGGAAACTCGATTGCGAAATCCTTCCGGCACCGAAGGTTTTCGAAGGATTTCGGCGTGCGCGCGCGACGACGCGCGCGCGCGCATTTCGTCACATTTTTTGCAAGGGATTCGCGAAAAAAGTGCGATGTTAGAACAATAATTGTCACCGCGTAGTTTTTTCCCCAACCATCTTGTGGTGTTGGGTCCTCGTTTTGAAGAGACGGTGCCCCGCGTTCCTCTCCTCTCCTCCTCTTCCCCCTCCTCCCTCCTCCCATCAGCATCATCATTATCATCGTCATCATCATCATCGTCACCATCATCATCGTCATCACCCACCATCATCGTCATCATCACCATCATCGTCACACCTCTCACACGTTTCGTGGCCCCATAGGGAGCTCCACCGAAGGCCCCAGTGCTGCCGCCCGCATGCGTCAGCCACACCCAATTCGGCATACCCCTCACACGTTTCGTGGCCCCATAGGGAGCTCCACCGAAGGCCCCAGTGCTGCCGCCCGCATGCGTCAGCCACACCCAATTCGGCACACCCCTTTCATAGGGAGCTCCACCGTCGTCAGTGGCTCACACGTTTCGTGGCCCCATAGGGAGCTCCACCGAAGGCCCCAGTGCCGCCGCCCGCATGCGTCAGCCACACCCAATTCGGCACACCCCTCACACGTTTCGTGGCCCCATAGGGAGCTCCACCGAAGGCCCCAGTGCTGCCGCCCGCATGCGTCAGCCACACCCAATTCGGCACACCCCTCACACGTTTCGTGGCCCCATAGGGAGCTCCACCAAAGGCCCCAGTGCCGCCGCCCGCATGCGTCAGCCACACCCAATTCGGCACACCCCTCACACGTTTCATGGCCCCATAGGGACCTCCACGAAGGCCCAGTGCCGCCGCCGCATGCGTCAGCCACACCCAGTTCGGCACACCCCTCACACGCTTCGTGGCCCCATAGGGAGCTCCACCAAAAGGCCCCAGTGCTGCCGCCCGCATGCGTCAGCCACACCCAAATCGACACACCCCTCACACGTTTCGTGGCCCCATATGGAGCTCCACCGAAGGCACCAGTGCCGCCGCCCGCATGCGTCAGCCACACCCAGTTCGGCACACCCCTCACACGTTTCGTGGCCCCACAGGGAGCTCCACCGAAGGCCCAAGTGCCGCCGCCCACATGCGTCAGCCACACCCAATTCGGCACACCCCTCACACGTTTCGTGGCCCCATAGGGAGCTCCACGGAAGGCCCCAATGCTGCCGCCCGCATGCGTCAGCCACACCCAAGTCGGCACACCCCTCACACGCTTTCGTGGCCCCATAGGGAGCTCCACCGAAGGCCGCAGTGCCGCCGCCCGCATGCGTCAGCCACATCCAATTCGGCACACCCCTCACACGCTTCGTGGCCCCAGCCCGCATGCGTCAGCCACACCCATTTCGGCACACCCCTCACACGTTTCGTGGCCCCATAGGGAGCTCCACCGAAGGCCCCAGTGCCACCGCTCGCATGCGTCCCGCACACCCATTTCGGCACCTCCACCAAACACAGCGTTTCGTGGCCCCACAGGGACCTCCACCGAAGGCCCCAGTGGTGCCGCCCGCATGCGTCACCCCCACCCCAGCACAGCATGTCGTGGCCCCACAGGGAGCTCCACCGAAGGCCCCAGTGGTGCGGCCCGCATGCGCCACCCCCACCCAGCACAGCGTTTCGTGGCCCCACAGGGAGCTCCACCGACGGCCCCAGTGGTGCCGCCCGCATGCGTCACCCCCGCCCAGTACAGCGTTTCGTGGCCCCACAGGGACCTCCACCGAAGGCCCCAATGGTGCCGCCCGCATGCGCCACCCCCACCCAGCACAGCGTTTCGTGGCCCCACAGGGAGCTCCACCGAAAGCGGCACCCGTAATGCGATATTCACAACTGCACATGGTTGGGTCCTTCGCCAGGATCATTGTTTAAGGGAACCTCAAGGGGGGAGATACCGGCCGCCCTGGGATAGTGTAAATTCATAGTTAGGGTGGACATGTGGTCATAATCAAATATGATTTACATCCCCGAAAGGGGTACCGATAACGCCGGGGGGGGTAGCTCCTATTCTGTTTCTAGAAAGGAGAATCTATGATGTGCAAGCTACGTCGTGCAAACTGCGCAGCGCAAGCTACGTGGTGCAAGATATGATGCAGATATGCGGTACGAACTATATTGTATAAAAGCTTCGCAGTGTGACATATGTGGTGCGCACTGTGACAGATGCGGTGCGCGCTATGTTTCGGAAGCTGTGCGGTGTAGTCTGTGTGCTGTGGGCAATGTTGTGTAAGCTATGCGTAAGCTATGCGATGCGAGATATGTTGTGCAACCGATGCTACCTACCCAAGGCACCGGACCCCCACGAGGCGCCCACGAGGCGCCCACGGGGCGGGCAGCATGCGAAACCTCGGCATACCAACCCAGGGCGGGGAGCCCACGCGGCGCCCACGGGCGGGCACCATGCGAAACCTCGGCACACGAGGTGCGCCCACGAGGCGCCCACGGGCGGGCACCAGGCAAAACCTCGGCATACCCCCCCAAGCGCAGGGCGCTTCCGAGGCGTCCACGGGCAGGCACCACCAGGCGAAAACTCGGCATACTCTCCCAACACGGGGCGCCCACGAGGCTCCCACGGGCGGGCGCCAGGCGCAACCCCGATACACGCCCCCAGCGCGGGGCGCCCACGAGGCGCCCACGGGCGCCCACCGATTGGGTATTGGCCGAAGTCCCACCATACGAATTCAATGTCTGCATCTGCCACCCTGCCTGCGGCACGTTGAGGCGTGGAGGACTGCCATGGGCTGCCTGGCAGGGTTTCTGTAGACTTCCAAGGGGCCCCCGCCCGCCCCGGTGGCACCCAGCCGACTGCACCACCCCTACTCCCAAGGGGTTCGTGGGCGGCCATGCCGCCTCCCTTGGGCTCTCCAAGGCTTCCATGACGGCCCAAGAGGCCCCCAAGACGTTCCAAGAAGACCCCGAGACACCGAACGAAGA